TGTGCCCTAATAAGCAAGGCGCTGATTGGGTGCACGAACCGTCAGCTCACGTGATATAATCCTGAGTAAATACTCAAGTGTATGTCTGTTCTTCTCCAGCTTGTTGCCCCTCTTTCCTTCCTTGCTTCGGCACCAGACCAACCTCTCATCATGAACCGCTTGCCAGTCGAAATAAAGCAAATGATTGCTGACGTGGTAAGAACAGTGACGTTTGCATTGTATTAATGAACCCCTCTAACCGCATCTGCTAGATCGGCGATGTGTCGCGGGATTCCCTGCGGGATTTATCGCAGGTGAACCATGAGTGGCACGAGATTGCCGGACCTGGCGTCTATGGAACCCTCCTTATCCACCTAGAGGCCAAGAAGCCAGCTCGTCTTGACCGCGTGATTCGGCTTCTGGACGCTACCCTCATTCTACCGCTTGTGAAACACGTGATACTGTTGAATAGAGATACGAGGCGTTCCATAGCAGCAGCGAAGGACGAGAGGCTCTGTCGGTATCTACGCCAAAGTCCCCCGGAGGATATCATCGTCCCCGGGTTGGGTGTATACATGGGGGATTGGAACCCCATCATCCGCCTCGTGCAGCGGCTGACTTCGCTGAAGCGCTTCGATTTCCTGATTCACATGTACTACCCGCCGGAACTGTTACATGTTCTCGCCCAGGCGCACCCGCACTGCCACGTATCGGTATCTCTCCGCTGCAGCTTCTACCCAGCGGAGGACTTCTCGCGGAAGAGATGGGCTCAATCTCCGGTGCTACATGCGGTTCGGGTTATCTACTACGAAGATCCAGTCTATGAGACCGTTCACACGGAGCATCCCGATCGCTCTCTGCGAGATCTCCTACGCCAAGCGCCCCATATCAAGCAGGTGTCCTTGCAGATCAGCCCGAAGACGCCAGGCAGCACACGGCAGAACTACACCAAATGGCTCGAGTCCCGGCCGCCGGAGAGCGGAATCGATACCAGCCCTACGCGTGCGAGGCTGGAAATCTTGTCATTACCCTTAAGCACCACAATGACCGGGGACGGGTTCCAAGCGTGGTCCCGGGTGACCGACCTGGGCTACCTGACTGCATGGACGGCGGGCGCCCTAGAAGAGGAGAGCGCGCTGGCAGCCATCACAGACCTGCAGCCCTTCCGCGCCCTCAAGCGTCTCACCATCTCCCTCCAGCCGCCTGCAGACTCTCTACCCTCATGGTCCCAGACCATTCAGGCGATGTTCGACTCGCTTCCGCCGCTGACGTATCTCTGCCTTCTGGGCACGTACGATCCGACGATTCTCCCCACTGCCGTCCTCGACCGCCATGGCTCGACGTTGGTCGAGTTGAAGCTGCATCGTGAGACCCCCAAGTACCAAAGCTACGAGTCCACCCGGCTGGCGCAAAAGGGTCAGATCGCCCCGATGTTTCCCGCGGATGCGATTCGCCGGATGGCAGTCCGCTGCCCGAGGCTGAAGACGCTGCGCATCTGCGTGCAGCGCCACCGGGGCCACCCCACCGAAACGGAGGCCTACAAGGCCCTCGGCGAATTCCCGGCGCTGGAGACACTGGACCTCGTTCTCAACTGCCTCCCGGTGGTGCAGGACGACGGGACACCCTTCCCGCCGCGCGCGCTGAGTGAGTACGAGCAGGGGCACAACCAGGACCACGTGCCCAGATGGATTCTCCGGGACTGTGCCATCAACTGCGCGATCGACGCCCCGCTGGCCGCGGCCATCTTCAAGCGTATCCACCCGCGGCCGCAGAGGGGCACTCTGCGACTGCTGCGCCTCCACCCGCTCGCAGGCCACCACGGTCAGTATCGGGTGGCCCCTGAAATTAGCAACTCACAGGCTCTTCTTGCGCGCGGGTATCTCAACTTTCAGGTCATGGGGAAGTGGCAGGTCGCTTGGGATGGCGCCGGTTGGCTGCGGCCCCGAAACCGTGAGACAACACGCTGGGAAGGAAGGAGATCAGCAGTGACGAGCGCGGATCTTGAGATCTTTGAGTCTATTTGGCCGTTGGCCCGGGCAACCAAGGATTGGCCGTTAGACTGGCAGAGCTGGCCTCTGCAATAGAGACGCACTTCCTTTTTGTTCTTTGCCTCGACAAGCTCGTAATCGAGGCATCAGGTAGGAACGAAAAATAGCAGCCAGTAGCCGGTCTAGTTGTCGGGACGGATGTCTAGGGCTCACCTGTGAAACAATCTACAGCACAAGTCGCTCTGTAAGATCCATACTCATAGACAGGCTGTCTTCACGTTGTATGTGGTTTCATCTATCGGTCATGTGCGATCCCTTAAACGTAGTGTAGACTGATGAAAAGATCAAAGACCCACGTGGGATGATGGTGGGATCATCTACATAAGGATATTTAGGAGCAACTAGTTAAGAACCATTGAGGTGATCAGTGAGCGCCTGCTTGGCTACTAAGCCGGCGGGCCCTCGACAAAGTGTGATAACTGGTGATCGCGATACCTTACCTAGCCACCACCTTAGAGACTTGAATATGTTTCGGTGATTAGTTTTCAATACATGCAAAAGATATACGACCCAGCCCAAGCAAAGTGGGTTATTCTACTGGCAGATTTGTCCCTTGTTTTAGGCATGATATGAGCCCGAAGACATAGCATTGGCAGCTGAGGACAGAGTCATAGGGACTCGACCGCGCCACTATTGCTCCTGACTAGTAGTCAGAAATAGCTCCCGTCTCCATGATCGAGCCGCCAGATGATATATATAACATTTCCTGATCTACACGTCCTGAACTGCTGCATTCTGATATCTGACGCATCACAAGTCCATGGATACTTTAGCTGACATTTCAATCTCCGTTTTGTCATTCTTCAGGTATAGACGAGAGTGCAGTAACTTTACCAACTCCGTTTCTGACCGGATGGATGTAAAAGGTCGCGTTGCTCATCGCCTCAGCGCACAGCCACTTTTGGCGATGCAGCTCCTTTTGGGGAGTTGTCCGGATTAATCATAGAGCTTGGGCATATCAGCATCTCCATCTTCGCGGATCTGGCTGTGTGTTTTGGCTCCCCTACAGCAGTAGCAGGGCAAAGGTTGGTTTTGGCAGAATCTCTAGATTGCCAGGTTTTCACATCTTATCGTCAAAATGAGTCACAGTAAGCGGGCCTAGCGTGTTAGATATCGGTTTATCTGCCACTTAGAATGCGCTTAAGGAATCTGAATCATGAACTTGGTAAAGCACTCGTTCCCAAGACAACCAATGGGGGGGCCCATGCTCCTGCGGCTTTCTTACCTCGCATGTTTATATTAGTGTCACCGTGTTTCTTTACCCTGAGTTCAGTAGAAGCTCTCCGCCCTCCGTCTCCCCCTCAGAATGGCTCATCAAGCGGACGGCATCTGCTGGGATGCCTTGACATCCAATCTCGTTTTCCAATCCCATCCCTCTGCCGATGTATCCGAGGCTACGAATCTGTACTTCCGCTTCAGGCCCCAACAGGGCCAAGAGATCGGCCAGTTCGCCGAGTCCCTGGCCCATGCGATCGCCAGCGAGACCGAGCGCGAGCGGCGGAAATACCCGGCGAGGTATGACCCACCCCAGCGAGACGATATCATCTTGGCCGACGAGGTAGCCCACAAGGTCCAGCCGCTGGCCTACGCATGGTGCCAGAACGACTGCTGGGAGTTTGGCTGGAAGGTGACCAACTCGCCAGACCTGTGTCGGCATGTCGAGAGTGAGGGTTTCGCGTGCGGATGCCCGCTGCCCTACAGGGAAAGACTGGGATCCGCCTTCCTGCGTCAATACCAACACAACGATTGTTTTGAATTCTTCCGGGTCAATGGTGATGCCTTTTTCAATCTGCAGGTGGTCAACGCCCTTCTCGTCTTGGGTGAGATGGACCCCGTTCTACGACTCTGCGCCCATCCGGCGATCGGGCTGCGGGAATGGATGGAAGTCCGGGAGTGTTGGGATACAGTAAGTTACGGTCGCATTTCATCACATCTTTCCGCACAGCCTCTTCCAAGGTCCAACAAACTGAATGTAGATCTCAGGAATCAGAAGTCGGGTGGGATCAGGTCTTCGAGGTCACGCTGGATTTCTACCTCCTTTTGAACATTCTGGACAGCCTTCGGGAGCTGCGGGCGGATAGTAGCCCCGGATCGGATGACTACCGCGACACGAAAATGTACCAACAAGCCCTCTTCCGATGGACGCAAATGCACTCGCAGGCCGAAGTTCCAAGCCAATTTCATCGCCGGTTCTTTGGGCTGGAAGACCATTTCGAAGCGCCTTTCACCATCGACCGGCAGTTCCACCTGCCAATCATGGCCAAGCTTCTGGCCGAAGAGCAGGCGAGGGTGCCCATCAGCGTCCCGCTCGACGACGAGGACGATCCCTACGCGCCATGTCTCTTTCTGAATGAAGATAACTTTCCATTTGGAAAGGTTCCGTTCGAGGTGTTTTTGACCTGCGATACAAATGCTCCCTATCATCCGAGTGCATCGGATATTGCGCGGGTGGAGGCTTATCTGCGACACAAAGGGTTGCCGCAGGAGTTGGTGTTGGATATCACCACATGGACGGAATACGATCGACCACGAAACCGTCTCCCCGTGCCACATGATCCCCTTCACGTGGGAAATCGGACAGTGCTGGAGAAGTACCTGAATGAGTGCTTCCGTATCATGGTCCGTTGTAGTATGCTGGCGCAGGAACTGGGGATGGAGATACACTGGCCGGCCCGCGTGGTACACGCCCTCGATCGCCTCGTGTCGAGTCCCACCGGCCAGAAGCTCTTTGTGCGAAGTCAGTCTCAGATCATCTTGCAGGGTGGCGATGGGGAGTTTCCTTGGAGTACACACCAGTAATGGACCAGCGGCATCTCTCTCACTGCCTTAAGGGAACAGGGGTTGAGTCGTATGGCGACTGCAAAACGACGCGGAAAGAACCGAAAATACCTTCTGAGGACCCTGAAAAGTATGCTTGAACATAGAGTAATAATCTAGTCTGCTTGCAGGTGCTGCGTAGTCGGGTGCTGGGAAACGTTTCTTACAGGGTTACGGTAGAGACTCAAAACATCGCAAGCATCGAAACCCACTCCACTTCACTATCTAGAAATTTCAACCTCACTTGCCCGCCCTCACTGTACCCACTAGTCGAACAACAAATCGTTGCCTCCAATCACCAATCCCGCAACCGCTCAGCAACAGTACGGATCAATAATTCCACAGCAAGTATATGAACGACCCGCGACCGTGGTCGATATTGTCGCTGAAGCCCTGGAAGCCCAGCCTCTGCGCGGTGGCCGCATTCATGGGCTCGCTCCGCCGCGCAAGCACCACCTGCCTCACATGCCGCTCGCCCTCGCCGCCATAGCGAAACTCCAAGTACCGATACAGCCCGCCCGCTCCCTTGGCCAGGTCCAAGGCCCCCTCGCGTGCGTGGTCAGAGAAGACGACCCGGATGTCGGAGATGCCGGTGCCTCGCTCCGCGTGGTACTGGGCCACCAGCCAGACGAATCTGCAGGGGTTTCGCTTCTTAGTCTTTCTCAGGGCTCGATATGTAGGGTAACAGCGTAAGGGGAGGAAGGAAGTGAAGGGGAGAATAGTTGCGTACTTTCCACCGTACCCGGCATTAATGTCCCCATTGTCGTTGTTGAGAACTGGGATGGTGTTGTCGGGTTTGTCACTTGCGTGGTCGCCGTACACAGGCTTTGAGTGAGAGAAGCAGATTAGCTCTGTAGAGAAGAGTGTAGCAGGGTGAAGGAAAATGAAGATATACTCCAAGGGTACCGAGCCAGCCCATATTGACTGATTTATCGAATAGTTGATGTGCGAACTGGGACTTTGTCGAGGATTGGTTTGCGGGATAGATAATTATTGTCGCGGATACTTTACTGCTGTCGTTCTTCAGTCGAGGAAGTCATTCTTTTATACTTGGGAAATCACCTCAGCCAGACATCGTCAGTACTAGGACTCAGTAGTAGTAAAATTGAGCCTCACACCCTTGGCTTTGTCGAAATAGTTCGCAACATCAAAGGAACATGTCTTGGCCTTCAGCCAAACAATTCATACGAGCGCCCAGTACGAACGCTCATTACGACCGACGAACACTTGGTCGCGATGCATTACAAGTTGCATGATGCAAACAATACCAAGAGGAGGCTCTGCTCATGGTCTGACTCTTCAGGTCATAGTAGTCGTCTCCCCGGCTTCCAGAGCAAAAGCAGCTGTTCACGGATGTCTGAGATATTTCTATCAGCTGGAAAAAAGGTGGCTTGCAGTGGCAGCTTGTTAATGTCAGCGGGGTCTTGGGCGATCGCCGCAAGGGTCTGTGCACTATCGGGTACTCCGAGGGCGTCTCGTATTCGCCGGGGTACATTGCGTCTTAGGGTTTGCTTGAAGGGGTCTTTCCAGCTACATGCCGCGGAATATCTTCGCTACGTGTAGTATTAACTTGTTTAGAAACAATCGAAAGTATCCTCGAGTAGCGCCGGCAGCGGAGTCACCGAAGAGCAAAGCTTCACTCGTCCAGGATTGACTGACCCGTTGGGCCAACACAGATAACATGCCCGAAAAGAGCATCACTCGCCTCATGCAGATTGGAGCAATCCTGATTCACCCAGTGATTATACGCCCGGATTGCCGAAACTCCAAGCCAGGGTTTCAAGTCAAGCTCGCGCTCGATTGAGTCGCACGTATCCCCATCCCTGAGGGTATGGGTCTTACACCTGAACGGAGTGCACAACCTCATACCCTCGGGAATCGCGAAACAGTCGATGAGCGGCCAGCTCACGGCTCGAACAGCCGCCGAGGCAACCTGGAATTGCGCCGCAATGCTGTCGCATGTGTCCCCTGGTGAGGTGGTGTATGAAAGAAGGGTCGCACAGTATGGGTCCCGGTCTATATGCGGATCCTCGGAGAGCACGAGCTTCGGGATGGCTGTGGGAAGGTTGAGATCACAGGCACGGTTGATGTGTTCGAGGCGCGATTTGTAGTTTTTGTCGTAGAGTGAGAAGGGTGACGTTTGCATGACACGATGCCATTGCACGTTGCAGAAGGAGCAGAGTTCTTCAATCGGCATTTCATCGATTAAGGATTTGCTCAAGCCGTTGATAACATCTGCACATATAATAGATGTGAGCTCCACGCCCTATATCAAGACAGATCAAGAGAAAAGCAGAACCTACCACCACAGTACCTCCCTGTTCCCTCATCCCGAAGACAAGTCTCGTTCCAACCCGCCCACAGCTGTCCACCCCGCAGGGTTGGAAAAAGCATCCTCTCCTCCAACGTGGCGCAATCGCGCTCGACATTCAGAAACCACGTGGCGAGGGACTCCCCGCACCCGCTGTCACAGACAAGATCGCTAAGCGTGTCGTTTTCCAGACCCGGACCCTGCTGCCAACGCGCCCACTGCCGTTGCAAGGATCGCGTCTTCGCGTGACAGTGAATTTTCTGTGTCATCGATGCCCTGCATGACGGGCTGAGCTTTGAGAGCGTTCTGGCATGTAGTTTGTTATTTTCGCTCCACAGTTGGAAGCCGCGAAAGTTGGACGAAGAACTTGTATCATCACCTTGGGATGTTCCCAGGGTTCGTTGCTGTTGCGCGAAGTATTGAGCAGCGACATCAGGCTGCCTAGCTAGTTGGGCAACTGTAGCACTGCATAGCAGCATCCAGGTAAGTAGAATATCGGCACCTCCCATCTCGACGTGCGACCGATAAGCGAACACAATAGTCGATCTTTTCTATCGAATGATATGATATCATTCTCTGGTATCATGGCGAGCGAGGACATTCGATCAGGGATCGAATGGGTTCTTATTATTGGGTACCCACTAAACTGAAAAGAGCGAATGTTTTCCGAGGTACTCCGTAGTTAGCATCGCTTCACACGCGCTGAGCCGCCAGCACCCTAACTTAGGTGACTTGAGATATCCACATTCCCTGGATCAATGCGCGATGATTTGCCCTGAAGCTCGGTTGGCTTGCCGCCAAGCCAATAGTCTCTGAACTCATGTGCTGCTAGAGTTCAAGTTGTTTAGGGCATAGGCAGCAAAATACATACATCCAACACATACGACCACAGGGTGTGGAAAACAGGGCTTCCCGTCCGCTCAGCCGTACTTAAGCCACACGCCGGGAGGTTAGTAGTTGGGTGGGTGACCACCAGCGAATCCCTTCTGTTGTATGTTTTTTATCCACCCAGATGCAGTTCCTGGCTGATCAAGGACACTATTTACCCTTAAATTTTTATACCTGCTACTACACATGCCAATGACCAAAAACATGCGTGGCCACGCCTGCGTAATCTTAACTAGGGATAGTAAGGCGCAAATTCTGACCCAGTGAGGGTAGAAGTGACCCTCGCGCTCATCGTTTGGATATGCTCAACTAAGCCTTCCCTTGCATTGCTAACTAGACTCATCGTGCTTGGCACTTCCAATCCGAATGAGAAGCGATGATGTTGCTTTCTACTCATAGATCCCATATCCTCATGAGCGAATGGGTACGGTCCGGCCCGGTCCCTCCCCGTACCTAGTGCCAGGACGCAAAGTCTAATTTCAGATGTCTCTGCAATCAATGATGCTATTACGTACCAGAATAAGATGTACGAAAGTGGTTGTGGCTGTTAAACAACATCGTCTCTGGCCATTCCACCACTCGGACCGCTGTATTGCACAGCCTTTGTACTAATGTTCGTTTGGGCGCGTACTCTAACACTCACAGCCACAGATGTTGCCCAATCGGGCGGCTGCGTTCGCCCTACTAGCATCACGGGATTACAGGGGTATTTTGCCTTTAATAAGGACACCCGCCCATCCTACACGCTGACTCTGAGGAATGGGCCTTGAAGAGATTCTTGACCGAGTTCAGTTGCTTCAATTCGCGTATTTTGATGGCCGACAATTTCACAGCCTCTACCCGCCAAGGTTGGGTTACTGAGCCGGATGGACGGGGGTCGTGGAGTATTCTTTCGACTTGTTTACTGACTATTATTCTCTGCTGTTGGACAGCAGTCCTTCCCAATATACCTGCTCGGACTGACAAGTGGTATCACCGTCTACGAGACCGGTTACATTTGGCTTCCATTGGAGTGTTGGGACCCGAGTTTCTGCTCATGCTGGCGCTGGGTCAGTGGTCCTCAGCCCGGGCATCAGTAAAGGTAAGGCAGATCCCCTGCTTTCGTAGCGCTGAACCAGATCTCTACGCTCGCTTGAATGGCCCGTTAAGCTCTCAGAGTCTAGAAATTCGAGCAACTGACGAGAAATTCCACGGATCCAAATACACCCTCATGGACCCTTGCACATGCCTTCTATGCCGACATGGGAGGCTTTATCCTCGAAGAGGAGGGAAATGCGACGTCTTTCCCCGTCAATGCTGAACAGCTCTATTTTTTGATAGCGAACAACTACATCAAACACCCACCCTTAACAGAAGACGAGATCAATGATCGTAACAAGTCAGACAGCTTCTCACGGTGCGGACAACCTGTGCTTGGTGGTAGTGACCCATATGATCCATGGACTAATAAGAGGGGCTTGCAGTGTACTCGCCGTCTGTCAGGGGCTGTGGTTTCTCGTTAATAGCGCTCTTCGAGTGGCGCAGGGATTATTCCTAACTACCCTCGAGCTCACAACCATATCTTACGTGGTCGTCTTTCTGGTAACATCGTTCTGCTGGCGTGCCAAACCGTCCGACATAACCGGTACTATTCCGATCAAAACAGGGACCCCAGTTGATATTATTCGAGCAGAGGTTCGTGAGAAACCAACAACTGTCGATGGAAGCTAGCGCACCCATCCAGCGAACACACTAACCATGTTCGGTGTGATAGCACTGCCTCTATCCAGACCAGCCCTGGCACGATACCCCGCTAGACTTTGTCTATGCCGACATCTCCTTCTGCGGCGTGCACTGGCGCTACTACACGCAAATACTCCGCAAGCTGCACCTGCCACTCGTCTCGCGGCCCATGACTGTCCGGCCGCAGAACCGGATTATCAGTGATAACTTTCCTGTGACCGATTTGCGGGCGGACTGCATCGCCACACCTGTGCTTCTTCTCTTCGGCTCTATGTTTCTCTTTGCCTGGGACTTTCATTACCCGACCCGCGCGGAGCGACTTCTCTGGCGGACCGCCAGTGTCTATAACCTCCTCTTCACCGTGGTCGGAGGCTTGCACGCTGGCTACTGTGATAAGATCCTCCTTCCCCGCGCGTATGAGGAACGCAAACAGCGCATTCCGTGGATAGCGTCGCCGTCGCCGTCGCCAAGGGGTTCGCAGGTGGGAAATCACCCTTCTTCCTTCTCCCCTCGTCTCAAAGCACCTAGCCAAGGGTTCTGGGCCCGTATTGCGAACAAGATACGCAATATTGACCCGACGCACGATCCTAAGGCGGAGCTCCCACTACGAGTGCTCATACCAACCTCGATAATTTGTGCTCTGTACTGCGTGGGGCGGACGTATATCTTGGTGGAGGACTTCATCGGTCTACGCAGTCTGCCGGCCTCGGCTTTTCAGACTGTTAGTTGGGAAGATTATGTTCCTCACCTGTAAACACAAACCAATAATGTTAACCCTGTGGTATATGTATCTACTGCACTGTGGACATGTGAATATATAGCGTGTAAACAATTTAAATTCTATGGCAGAGCTATGCATTAGTTGTGCCATTAGTAGTATAGTAAGTACGATCCATTACATTAGAGAACTTTAACTAGGACTGTACCTTGTTGCCAGGTGCGTTGTCAGTATCTCTAGTTTAAGACGGGTTGGTATCTTCCGTAACTACTCCGTACTCCGCACCACTGATAAGACTGACCTCGGAACAAAGCTGCTCCGAGTCAGGAATTGTGCTGATAACGGTCATGTGATCTTTGGAGAGAAGAGGGGGGTTATCTGCCTGAGGCTCAATTGGCCTCCAGCCCCCCTCTTTTATATCAATCACCAAACGTGTATATTGCTGAACACACGTGATACCATCCAGGAAACCATTGGATGTTGATAGCTTCTGAAATGGCGGGTGATCACGGAAAGCGCCCAGCAGAGAGCCAGGCTCCCAGTTCACGTCGACCATTCCCATGTGATGAATGCTCAAAAACATTCACCAGAAATGTAAGTAATATGCATTTTCCTCGACTACCCAGATCTCATGCCAAAATCATGTTCACAGGAGAATCCGCGACGGCATAAGCGCGCTCGTAAGTTCTGAGATTTCAGGAGTGAAACAGACCTTCATATAGTGATTGCTGTCTATTTAGGTCATCATCGTGCCCTGGGCCATGATTTCGAATGCGATGGCTGTCATGCGGCTTTACTAGAAGGTCTCTTTCATTCTTGCAACAAATACCTTGCGCTAGCCTTACTGAACAGCTCCTAGTGACGTATTAAGAAGGCACCGGGGTCGTTGCCAGGCAGAAGCATCTACTCATCATGTATCTCCGCCGCAAACAAGTCTGCAGCAAAGATGCCAACCAGTTGTTGACACTCCCCCGCATGTAGCTGCAACCGATATCTTGACTCCGACCGAGGCGCTGACCGCAAATGCTATACCTCATGATGACTTCTGGGAGCAACATAGCTCCTTTGGTACCAGTCTTCCTCGAGAATACTTAATGCCCTCGTCAATGTATGTCTTCTAACGAGCCATGCATGCGGGGAACGTTCCTAACTACCGTAGCTTTGCTGATAGGGGCAACTATGACGTGGAAGTGAATGTCAAGAACTACTTTGAGCATTTTAATCCGTCTCTGCCATTGTTGCATCGGCCTACATTTACAGTATCATCGGCACCAAAGCTATTGCTCAAAGCGGTGACTGTGATAGGCAGCTTATGCTCGACAGTTGTATACAACGATGAAGAAGCCCAAGCACGTGTGCACTGGCGTCGGGATACGTGGCAAAGTGGACAACAGGAACTTCGAAATATGGTACATGTGACATCGTTCATTCTAAGCTTTATGTGCTGGGATACTAATCAATGTCGAGATAGATTTCCAATGAATGCGGTAATATACGAAAACCCTGGGTGGTGCAAGGCTGGATACTTCACATGATATATGGGGTCTATGCAGGCGAAGCATCCCAGTTCCGGACAGCACGGGACATGCTGCGACAGATTGTTGATGTTGGTTCAAGCTCTCCTACCTAGTCTACTGTGCTATCAAACTATGGCTCATGAAACTCAGGCTGTACGCGAGGTCGGTCTTTCTCATCAAGAAATTGTCATGCCAGAGTCACGGTCCTGGCTGTATGACATCGACTATCCGCGCACAGAGCAACCGCAAACCGTGTATACTCGATGGACCTCTTATATAACTGCAGAGTCCACGCGAATAGCGCTCTACACGCTGCTCTTCCTCGACTCACACATTTTTGTGCCCTGCAATTCCCGGCCGTTGATGTCTTCAATGGAGCTGCGATGGGAGCTTCCTTTCCCAGCCAAACTCTGGGAGGCTAAAGACCCTGAAATTTGGATTCGGAGATTCAGCGGATATTTCGGTGTCTCTGCTTTGACGTTTACCAACGATCTACTCCATCAGCCCCGCGGATTAGCAGCAGCTTCCCTGACAATGGCGACGCAGCAACTCATGACTGAAGCTCCGGGAACCGAGTTAACCTCTGTCCTTGAAGCATCTCCGATCGCAGCATTCTACGTGCTGGCGAATCTAGATACTTTGGTGAGAGACTTCACACGGTGCTACTACCAGATGCCACCCAGCTATTCTGACCCGAACCCCTTCCACATCCTGACTCAAAGTCAAACCGAGAGTGTTCATATGGCCATACGTAACATTGGGAAAATTGTGAAAGACGCGGCTAGCACGAGTGACAGTCCCCAATTCCTTCAATGGAGAACAAACGAGCTCTTTATTGTATCCCTTCAAGTCAATTTGTGTCGGCCTGATCAGCTACTGATCGGAGGAATCGTTGATAATAGCTTGATTGCCGGCCTGGCTGCCTCAACCCATCTGATGCGAGGTAACTTCGTCGCGGTTCGACGATCCGCACCTTGGGTGGCACCTCGACTTGGCGGCAATGAAGGTGTGCTATCCTTACTCAGTGAGCTTTCTGCTGCACTCGCCAGCATATACGGCGACGACCCGCAAAGGGTTTCTTACGAAGCACCGTGGGTCACAGTTACCAGCTACGGAATCCTTCTGTGTATTTGGGGAGCGCTCAGGCGTGCAACAACCGAGATCCGTGACCACTTGAATACATTCAACGAACTCCCACGGACATCCGAGCCATGTATGCTGATCTTCAACGCACTCATGGAAGCCGCCTTGCGGTACTCCCCAGCCACTAGACAAGATCGGAGGGTTCGCGATCCACGCTTGTGGTCTATGGACCGGGATACCGTTTCTACTCTGCTAGAGGAAGGGCAGGTGTTATTTGCAGACATGGTCAAGTCCTTCTGTCAGCAGCGACTTGTGTGGAGTATTGGGCCGTCTATGTTAGCTGTACTGAGAGAACTTCCCGACGACGCTACCTCATAGTCGTGGACATGTGGAGCTCCACTTGGCCAACACGCTTTGCCGCTTCATACCCCGCTTTGGCTATCTGCGCGGCCGCCTTCTAGCCATGGTCCATTTAAGACAACCGCATGGGCTCGGTGCATCTTCCGCATAATACTCTCAGAAGTTCTTTCGACCACTGATCTCGATTCGCAATTCAACAAGAATGAGTCAATCAACCCCGCGAGTTGGCTGGGTAGGTTCAAATAGCGGATCCCACTTGTATGCACGTGACTGACACCACCATGATTGATGGCCGTAGCATGGCCTCGGATCCATGGGTCTTGGCATGTCATTGAACCTCCAGAGATACTTGCAAGCAAAAGAATTGCCTCCGCTTCGATACAGCAATAGGACCATTGCCAAAGGAGATGCTCTTCGTGATGCAGGGGCTGTGCCTGAAACAGAGTTCGGTTCACTAGTTCAGAAGTCAGATGTCATTTTTACAATGGTGCGCGCGGCATTTGCTGGGTCGGCTGCCAGCATCCGGCTTTCAAGAAGACACTAACAACTCCATAGATCTCCACCGACGATGTTTTGAAAGACCTCCTGGAAGCGGCTGCGGCCACGAGGATCTCCCTCGAGGGTAAGATCTTCGTTGACACGTCTACTATTCACCCAGACACATGCGAATGGGCAGCGAGAAATCTCGAGGGCCACGGTGCGACATTCATTGCAGCACCCGTGTTTGGCGCAAGCCCCGTAGCAGCTGCTGGAAATCTCATATTCGCCGTGGCTGGTCCTACTGGAGCAGTCGAGCGAGTCCGACCTCTAATCATGGATGTCATGGGACGCAGCATTATTGATATGGGAGAAGATGTGCGGAAATCAAGTCTCCTCAAAATCTCGGGGTAAACACATCAACGTCTTCCTCATTTGGTCAACCTTCACTCACTTACCTGTCATCTCAATGAAGGAACATCCTCGTCATCAGCTTCATGGAGGTCACCGCTGAAGCACAGGTCTTTGCCGAGGTCGCAGGAGTGGGCACCCAGCAGATGGAAGACTTTATTGGAAACATGTTTGGGCCGGTATTGCAGAGTTACAGCAGACGCATCACGAGTGGAGCCTATGCACCTCCTTTAGACACAGCGCCTGGGTTCGCCGCCGCGCTCGCATGTAAGGACATGAAACATGCTCTGTCTATTGCCGACAGTCGTAATGCCCGCCTATGCACGCTCGAAACGGCGTCTAAACGGCTGAACACTGCACGCGAGTATGCCGGCGAGAATTTGGATAGCTCGGCTATCTACGGCACTGCGCGGCTAGAGGCGGGGCTGTCATTCTGGACTGCGAATAGTCGGCAGGGAAACGAATCGCTTCCCTAGTATAGTTCTTGTCAAGTTTCTTAACAATCTCATTCATGGTTACCTTATCAAATCAGCATTTACTTGCGGATTGTTTTCGCTGTCTACGGGGCATGCCCAGCTGGAGCATGACCACGTCCTCCTGAGGCCTACTTGAACCTGCATCGGCTATACAGCATAAAGCTTGCCATCGTGGCTGAGATGAATGAGTCTTCAAATTATTTATTCCATTGAACTGCTTCTACACCGCAGGCCCATGGTATATTCACACATTTTCTCCAGATCAACCACCCTCTCAATGGGGTCCAGAGCACTTGCACTAAAGGCATCCACGGTAGGGCATCCCAGGGGCTTACGTCCTTGCCCTGAACCATACCCGAAATAATGAGATACGATGGCTTTGACACCAGTCACGCCCACTTTAACGAGGGCGTCGTCTGCATGACTGAGTCGGGATTGGAGCTCTTGCGCACCCTTGATGTCACCATTCTCATATCTCCTCAGCACTTCCACGTGCAGTTTTGGGGCAATGTTGGCAAGAGCCGCGATGATTCCGTTGGATCCTGCTACTAAGGCGGGCAGGAAGAAATCCGACTTTCCTCCGAACGCGGCAAAGGAGTCTGCAGACAGGGTGGATGAGATACGCTGCAGCTTACCGACATTGCCGCAGGTGAGCTTGCAACCGACAATATTGGAGTTGGACTGGGCCAGCCTGATGATCGAGTCGGAACTTATGTCGATACCACCGGTGACACCAGGGAAGTTGTAGATCAGGATTGGAAGTGGGGAGCGGGATGCTACCTGTATGGTTGAATCAGAGTGAGTTAGTCCGACTTGTTCATCTGAAGTGACTAAGAAGCGAGAGAGACATACCTCGTTGAAGAACCCTTCGACCACAGGAGGGGTCATGGCTGCGACCCAATATGACGGGGGCAAGACCAATGCAAAGTCGGCGCCGGACTCCTCAGCCTCGGTGATATGCGTCAGTGTTTCTCGGACGCTGGGTGCGCCACAACCAACGATCAGCTGGATTTGCGCATGCCCCAACCCGTTGAGATGGCTGCGCACCGCGCGAACAAGGGATTTACGATCGTCGTGATCCAGATGCGGTGCTTCGCCGTTACTGCCTTGAAGAACAAGTCCAACGACACCGCCTTCAGCCATACGATTTGCATGTGTCAAGGTGCTTTCAAGATCAAGAGATTCGTCTTTGGCAAAGAAGGTCACCAATGGTGTGTATACACCAAAATTCGGCTTCCGTGGAGCCATGGCGGTTGGCAAATGTTGGTATTGAGGGAACTGTGGTTTCTGACCTTGGAACAATTTGATTAGAACTAACGAGTCAATCCGTCGTAGGATCATCGATTTATCTATCGACCTATCGACGCTGATGACGCTCCTTATCTCGTTTTACCTAGAGTGGAGCTCCACCCGTTTGTCATTCCAACTCCACTCGCTATCAAGACAGGGCGCCCGCGCATTGAAAGATCAAAATCACCCCGCCGACTTGAAGTCTTTCGTTCTCACCTTGTCATTTTCCCTCTCCCTGATTCCCCTGCGCAATGTCATCGAAGTCTTCAGTCTTTGCGATCGTGGCCTATGCGCCACCGGACGCGATCTTCGAACTCACCAAAGCCTATATAGCCGACCCAGACACTCGCAAAGTGAATCTAGGCCAAGGTACCTATCGAGATGGCGATGGAAACTCCTGGGTACTCCCAGCGGTCGAAGCAGCCAAGGATGCGATCAAGAATTGCAACCACGAATACCTTCCAATCCTGGGCCATCCACCTTTTCGCCAACTAGTTACGGAGTTGGTCTTCAGGAAGGAGTCCACTGTTATTGGCGAGGGTCGAGTGAATTATCCTGAACCGTCTTGATGCCACGAGAAATTCCACTTGCTAACCAGTTCGTTACAGGTCGCCTCTTGTCAGGCATTATCGGGTACCGGAGCACTCCACGTGGCAGGAATGTTGCTCAGGCGGGCACTTGGTGAAGATCGAACCGTCTACATCACCAATCCAAGCTGGTCCAATCACAGACAGGTCTTCGAATCAGTGGGCTTCTCAGTTCGAGAGTTCGATTATGCGTCGAGAGACGGGATTGACATGGAGTCGCTACTTCGAGCCTTAACTGAGGCAGACCCATTGTCGATCTTTGTGCTTCATGCTAGCGCACACAATCCAACTGGGTGGGATCCTAGTCCAGAACAATGGCGACAGATCGGTGCTATCATGAAGGAGAGAAGCCTATTCCCTCTGTTTGACGCTGCGTACTTGGGATTGACGTCCGGAGACTACGAGCAAGACGCATATGCCATCCGGTACTTTGCTGAGGAGTTGGATCTGGAAATGGGTGTCTGTATTTCCTTCGCCAAAAGCATGGGACTCTATGGTATGTTTTTACATTGACTGAGTGTCATTTCAGTCGAGTCACTTGAGAGTCGGAGTTCGAATTCAATGCTCCATTCCCTTCTAACATGCATCTGCTCATTCTCATAGGCGAAAGGACTGGGTTGTGTGCTTTTGTATCACGCAACCACAGCATCGCCAATAATGTGGAGTCAAGTTTGGCGCATTTAATTCGCAGCGAAATCTCGAATCCTCCGGCATTCGGTGCTCGTGTCGTCACGGCAATTCTAGCAAACGATGGCCTATCGTCTCAGTGGCGGCGTGATCTAGGCACGATGAGCTCGCGCATTACTGGAATGAGGAAGCAGTTATGTGATGAATTGAACAGCGCTAGGTATCGCAAAGACCTTCCCCTTGTCGGCAGGTTGTGAGCCCAGTAGCTCATATTTTTAACAGATACCCCGGGCGACTGGAGGAAAATCATACAGCAGAAAGGCATGTTTTGCGTGCTCGGCCTTACACCCGAGCATGTTCACCACCTAAAAGGTAAGTCGATCACCACAAGTTTATAACTACAAGACTAGTCTAAGCTTATACGCATTTTGAAATTAGAGAAATATCACATTTACATGGCCAAAAGCTCGAGAGTTTCTATAGCTGGTCTGAATGAGGGTAATGTGCGGTATGTGGCTGAGTGCATCCATCAGATTGTTTGTCAGCCAGAAGAGTAGCTTAATTGCACGCTTATTTACCAAATTTTATCTGTGCCCAAACCTGGTACACTGACTTTCCATATTCATGTGCTTGAGATCCTATTGACTTGAACTTTGTTACGTCAAAGCGACTGATATGCTCTATTTCGAATCTCGGGTCGGGTTGACTATGTACGGTACTGTGAAATTCAACCCAAGCGTTTCAACCAAAGGCAGCACCGTGGTGAAAGACATTTGTCTCTAATTTTTATGTGGAGCGTCTGTTATGTAAATTCCCTCTTATCACCGAAACCTCTAATTTCGCTGTGAACGATTAATACAGGACAAGCAGGTTAGGTAGTGCGTACATGGAGATATCATTAATCAGAGTGTCTTGGGATTGTTTAAATCTATACTATCTATTCAACCTGTATAGTAGTGCTTTATCACACTTCCATTGCCACTTTGAGGTCACCTCTTCGCCGGAGAGTCGGAAATTAGGTCTTATCTACGGGAATCCACGCTAACCCCGCATCGTCTACTCGGTTTCAGGAAAGATAAGAACTTGCCGGCTGATGGAGCTCCACCACCCCCCGCAAAATGTCTACCTTTGGAGCGAACTAATACGTCTTGGACATCCAGGAGTCTTGTATTCCATTCTTATCGGGTCGGCAGGAGGGGCCATTTAAGGAGGGACGATGAGTCCGAGAAATGAAAATTCTCTACCCTAATGGATCAGATGAGTGTGACAAAAGGCAGTATGACCACCCAACCCAGCGAAAAAAAGGTCTCTCGAGTTCCACCAAATGACGACGTGGAGCAACTAAACACCGAAGTCCAGCCTGGTGAGATCAAGCATGGAGGCACAGGAGACGTTGACCCAGCCCTACAGTTTCTGGCTGCAGAAGCGATCGAATATACGCCCGAAGAATCCCGCAGAGTGTTGTCCAAAATCGATCGAGTTCTGATGCCTTTGCTGTGCTGGGTCTATCTGATTCAATTTGCCGACAAATCGTCTTTGAACTATGCCTCCCTGATGGGGATCCGCGAGGACACGCACTTGGACCCCAACTCGCAGCAATACAGCTGGGTGTCGAGCATTTTCTACGCTGGATACATCTTTTGGGAGTATGTACCCTGGCACGCCTCCCTTCATGCCTTAGCCTTTGTGCCCTAGTCCATGCTGATTTTGGTATATGTTTCCCACCACGTATATGCTACGCCGACTTCCGCTGGGGAAATATACCTCTTTCAATATTCTGATCTGGGGTGTCGTGCTCCTCTGTCACGTCGCGACTAACAGTTACGCCGGCCTGCTTTGCGTCCGCTTTTTCCTCGGCGCGTTCGAGGCGACAGTCACTCCGGCCTTCGTGCTGTTCACTTCCTGCTGGTACAAGCAAGATGAACAGGCCAAGCGCATGGGCTTCTGGCTTGCTTGCAACGGCTTCGCTCAGATCCTGATTGCGGCAATCGCGTATGGACTGTCGGGGGTGCAGACGGCTTCCATTGCGGTGTGGAAGATTCTCTTCCTCGTGCTGGGCCTCCCTACCGTTCTCACCGGCGCACTATATTTTTGGCTTATGCCCGACGATCAGATTCACGCCAGATTCCTGAGCCATCGTGAGAAGCTCATTGCTGTGGATCGCATCCGGGGCAATTTCCAAGGCATCGGTAGCCATATTTGGAAATGGTCTCACTTCTTCGAAGCCTTCCGCGACCCACGCACGTATCTCTACGTGCTCTTCTCGCTCTTGATGAATATCCCCAATGGGGGCATCACCACCTTCGGTTCCCTCGTGATCAGCTCTTTCGGCTTCTCCAGTCGCATGTCCCTCTTGCTCAACATGCCAATGGGGCTTGTCGACATTGTCTGCAAGCTAGGTTTGACATATATGTCCGACAGATTTCTGGATCGCACCATTTTTGCCATCATCGCCATTCTCATACCCATGGTGGGCGGCATCTTGATGATCGTCCTTCCCCTTCATGCCAAAGCTGGTCTGTTGGTGGGTTACTACTTTATCGGCGCTGCTGGAACCTCCTGGTGCTTGGTCATGGTGATGATATCCAACAATACCCTGGGCTACACGGAGAAGGCCACAGTAAATGGCCTCCAGATACTGGCTTACGCTGCGGGAAACTGGATTGGACCGCAGACCTTCCGCTCGAACCAAGCGCCCGAGTATTTTGATGGCAAGCTGATGGTAGCCATCATGTACGCCCTTGCAGCGGCGACCCTACTGGCTATTCGTCTGGTGAACATTCTGGAGAATAAGAGACGTGACCGACAGGCGCTTTCTAACCCCGACGACGATGAGAGCGTTGTTGTTGGCACTGAGTTCCTTGATTTGACGGATTTCGAGCAACCGGCCTTCCGCTATGTTCTGTAATGGGTCTTGCACGGGCGGTAGAGTTTGACGACGGACGGGATCGCCTGTATCATTGTGTTTAGAGCGTGCTCGATATCGAGCGAGGATCTGTGACTGTCTTGGATAGCTGTAGCGGGTCTTGTATTAACATGCTGTTACTATTTCTCTCTACAGCAAGCGGAAGAACTCCGATGAGTCGAGGTTTTATTATTTCAGCGCGCTATCTTGTCAAATAGTTTGGCTGAGTTGGCGGTCTTCCTGCTAAATGTGCAATTCGGTGGACTTGCCAGCGGATTAATGGACGTATGGGCGAGGAGCTGAGGAGTATCCACCTAGCTACGCAGCAATTATTCTGCAGATAATGGGACATTGGGATGCCGAGCAGGGACGTATTGAGTTCCTCCGAGTTACCATGTAATCAAAAACCCGTCTCGATTATTCTGGTAAGCGCCATACTCATTCGCTGGACTGAGAAATTCGGGTGCGGCATCATGCTCAGGAATTCCCCTCCTCCTTCCCCTCTTTCCAATTGAGCTGTGACGCGTCACAGGATCTGGGATACGTCCGTGCTACTTGACCACAGGACTTGATGTTTGTGGTGGAGGTGAGGGTGCGTCTATTGTAGCGCAAAAAGTGAGGGGATAACAGGCGGGTGGAGTGAGCCGATGTGGAGCGAGGTGGAGTGAAGTGGAGTGATGGAGTGGTGGAGTGATGGAGTGATGGAGTGATGGAGTGGCAGGGTTGATCTGTCTTTCACCCGAACAGTCCGTCTGGGAGACTTGAAAAGGCCCGAAAAGAGGCAGAAATCTAGTCTAGACACCAGGTTTGACCCTGGAGGTACCAAAACCACTGTCGATATTGCACTTTCCGTGGCGTTGATGCAACCCTGAGTCGTCGAACCCGACCCATTTCTCGCGGCCTCCATTCCACTTCAGAACAAACACTATGGCGAAGCCACCTGTCAATGTCCGACCCAAGATCGCGTTTGTCGGTCTCGGCGCAATGGGTAGGGGTATGGCCATACAATTGCTCAACGATGGGTTTCCCGTCTGTGGGTTCGACGTCAATCCCATGTCGCTCGAGACATTACTGGCCATGGGCGGCACCGCCGCCTCAAGTCCGCGAGATTGCGTTCAAGATGCCGATGTCTTCATCTGCATGGTAGCCAACTCCATGCAGACAGAGGAGGTACTTTTCAACGAAGGAGTCGGTGCAGTCTTCGGTCTGAAGAAGAATGCAATTATTATATTATGCTCCACCGTTGCCCCGAGCTTCCCATCAAAGATCTTGGACCAGATCCACAATAAATTCTCGAGGACTGATGTCAATCTGATCGATTGTCCTGTATCTGGCGGGGTGCTCCGTGCAGCTCAGGGCATCCTGACAATCATGTCATCGGGACCCCAGGATGCCCTAAGCCTTGCCCACCCAATCTTGCAGTCGCTTAGCCAAACGCTATACACAATTGAGGGGGGGCTCGGCGGTGCCAACAAAGTCAAGCTTATCAATCAGCATCTTGCGAGCGTCCATATCGCCATGGCAGCAGAGGCAATGGGACTAGCGGCGACGATGGGATTGAATACAAAGCAATTCTATGACAGTGTGTTGAAAAGCCCTGCCCATAGTTGGATGTTTGAGAACCGAGTGCCGCAGATGCTTTGCGATGACTGGTCGCCCCACTCTGCTCTCAGCATATTCGTCAAAGATATGGTATGTCAGCTCATCTTGCACTCTATCGCAGGTATTCGAGATTTCTAACCCTGGTCGTAGCGGATTGTCACTTCGGAAGGCCTCAATGAGAACTTCCCGCTATACATCGCCTCCACCGCGGAGGGTCTTTACCAATTTGCTGCGCAGACTGGTTATAACAAGGAAGATGATTCTGGCCTAGTGCGAATATTCTTTCCCCAGGATTTGTCACTGGTTTCCAAGGCGACACACCGAAAAGACCACACTGCTGATCATGAACGCAAGTCGAAGCTTATCTGCCAAATGCTGGGTCGAGGGAAATACTGGTTAGTATATTCTTCCTCACATATGTGTGCCATCGATTAATTTAATGTTTAGAAGCGAGCCACGATTCACGCTCAGCACTACAACTACCCTCTACCGATTACAGCGACTACGCTGCAGCTATTGCAACAGGGTGTGGCTCGTGGCCTAGGAGACGAGAGTCAAGCAGCGCTGCAGGTGTTATGGGGCCCGGTAGCCTTATGATTCGATTGAGATAGCAAGTATCACGTCACGAGCCTCACATAATTCTGGTAATTCAACTTTTCTAAGAACACTACATTTTTTGTCGTGAGTCTTGCGGTCTTAGTTGTTGTACTTGGGGAGAAGTCGCGTCTCGATAAGATGGGGCTCTTCCAGACTTGATTTATCCCTTAGTTCCACTTCTTCGGAGAAACAGACTCGCTGAAGTGCCTATAATCTGCGTTATCCGAGGAACTAATTACATATTACTGATAGTGGGAGGGGCTATGTCAATCAGACACAAGGATTTCGTCTGGGTGGTCAACCGTACCATTTTCCGAGAGGTTGAAGGTACTTCGGTGTGCGCCCACTAGTCCTATTTACTTGTCGGTCTCTTTGATTACTACAAAGTCTTTCTAGCATTCAGGAAGAAGGCAAGTCGACATGGGTTGTTGTAGATACTACCTTCAGATCTAGTACACCATGAAATCTGTAAAATCCTCATCCGGAAGGTAGGCCTGTTCGTTACCTTGTAAAGTCCCGAGATACCAAGACAGATCACTTCCATCAAACTCGCGGGCGGCAAACCCATTCCCTAGGTATCCGAATCGATTGCTTGTCGTGTATCGAAGATGGTAGTCTTCCCACCGGGGTTGTTTCATGGTTTCGAAAAAATGGATTCTGGAGCCCGGCCACATCATGACCTCGCCATCGACGGTACCCTGCTTGAACCAAGAACGACATGGGGATGTCCACGCTGTGCGGGGCATAAACTGTCTATGATGCTCGAAGAATTCCGCGACTGCCTCGGCTTTGGGTTCAAAGGAGGTGACACCCTCCGATGACATTTTCTCGAGAATCTGGAGGAAGTGACGCGACAAGGTTTCTGTAATTGGGAGAAAGCTTCCGTGACCATATGGGCCGAAAGGGCCATTGAAGACTATCCATGTTGCAAATCCTATTAGCGGACTGTGTCCCCTGAAGAAACGTTAAAGGTGACTGGATCCTTACTGAGATAGTTGGGGAAGTTGGGGACGGTGATGGAAAGGTAGGTCCTCGGAATCTCCTTCCACTGTTCACTAAGACTGCGGGATTCCCTGCCAATTGTAGGATACGATGGCCGCCAACTGACATCAAATCCAGTGGCACACACAATCACGTCAACTTCATGCTCAACACCGTCGGCAGTCTTAATGCCCTTGGGGGTGATTTCTGCGATTGACTGCGAAACGACCTCGGTATTGTCGCTGCAGAGTGCCTCGAGGTATCCATTTCCGGGGGTAGGCCGACGGCAACCCACGGCAAAGTCCTTGGGCACAATGTGCTCAGCGATATCAGGCCGACTGGCGAGCTTGGAGCGCATGTCTTTCTCCGCGTACTAATTGGTGTTGCATATTCATAGTTAGTCCTGGGTGTATTCTTGCGTCCACTGCGAACGGGATCATATCATACCGCTCTTGCGTTGGCCTGCTCTTCCGAGCCATTGAGAATGAATCGGAAACGAGAATTGAGCTCCGATTCGATCTTCTTACGATAGGCCAGATATTTCTGAGGGTCATTTTGAAGTATCTTCTTCTGCTTTGGAGTATCTGAAGGGCCATTAGCTCGTCGTGCCGTGGGTTGCACAGAAGAGGGCCAAAGGAGACTGACATTGGAAGTTCGTCCCTCCCTTTCCTGCGAACCGCTGGCCAAATCCCGCAGTCACCCAGGATGCGCTGCGGATAAAGCACTTCAGGGATGACACCACTGTATTATTTTGTGAGAAAAACAAATGTTGAATCAATTTTTCCGGTAAAACTCACTCGGTTGGATGGATGGAACAATTTGCACCGCCGAGGATCCTGAGCCGATGACTGCCACGCGTTTCCCTTCCAACTCGACTTGGTCATCCCAATGCGCACTATGAAGCATCGGACCCTGAAAGGTTTCTCGCCCTGGGATGGCAGGCCATTTCCACTTGCTATTCACGCCAGGATATTCAGCTTGTGGCTCAGTCACTGCACTGAGGAGTTAGTGGTTCAACTTACTTCAAGACGCCGGATGCGTTGACCAGGATGTGACCTCGATCCTCAAAGACATCTGTGGGATTGTCACCTTTTTGAACCTTCACATGCCACTGTTCGTCGTGTTCATTCCACGACGCCCCTACGACTCGGTGGCTGAGGCGAATATATTTGTGCAATCCGTGCTCGTCCGCAACTCGCTTGAAGTACTTCAAGATCTCCGGGGCGCCCGAGTAACTATACCGGCTCACGTCAGCTAATCAGTCGGTTAAGATGGAGTCTTGTCGATACGCACAATGAGGTCCAGTCGGGAGAAGGCGCCCATGAGAATTGATAATTCACCGAGGGAATGTCACATCCACATCCGGGGTACCGGTTCTCAAACCAAGTGCCCCCAATCTCGGGGTTTTTCTCATACAGAACCAACTCGATGTCCAATGTGCTCTGGTCAATATCGTGCGCAAAATTCAATGCGCTTGCACCCGCTCCGATCACAATAATTCGCATCTTGCGACGCGAGCGACTCGGTTGGTCAATGATCTCGTAAGGTTCATGAGGTTGAACCTTCGCTATGGTGTAATCGCCGATAGAGCCCATGGTAAAAGAAAACGGTCAAAGATTTGATCTGCCGCGTGGGTTCACATAAAAGTGCTTCGGCTCGACCGAGAATATATATTGTGCAGAAACTGGGCTGCGTGACCTTTTTATGGCTCCGGGGGACCTCACCCCAAAAGCCAGTGGTTCTCCGGCGCGTCTTGTGAATTGTCCGATAGACTTGCGCCTTGTGTTTGGTTGATCACGAGTAAAATCAATAGATCTCAACATTGACATCTCGCGCGATGGGTGGAGCTCCACCAGCAGTCCACTTGGCTTTGCCAGCCCCGCCTCCACTGCGGAGCTTTCTCCGAACTTCCCCCTCTTTTCAATCTCCCTTATCGCCTTATCTCCATCCAGCGGACGGAGGAACTCCTATCGTGATGATAGGGTTGGGACGATTGGGGTATATAGCCTTTCACCACCAAGAACGAGACAACATATTTGCTCCGCATTCCATCATTCAAGCCCGAGTCATACGCATCACCCCTCTAATCGCAATGCCCACAAGCACAGACACGAAGCCACTGCGCATCTCAATTGGTGAGTCTCGAGCGAGTGCTCCAGGTCAGGATTATCAATTGAGGAGTCCCCATTGCTGATTTCGACCATGATGAATAGATCGAGGCGGGACCTTTACGGATTGTATTTGCAAAGTCGAGGGTGGGGAGGATATTGTCGCCAAAATCCTGTCGGTGGATCCGAAGAACTATGCGGATGCGCCGACCGAGGCAATCCGTCGCGTCCTCGAGAAATACTACAAGTGCTCTATTCCGCGAGGAACAGAGCTCGACCTGAAGGACGTCGGTACGGTTTTGGTTTCTCTCTCTCGTTTGGTGGTAGTACTAAGCGCCTTTGGCAACAGAATGGATTCGAATGGGCACCACGGTTGCAACAAATGCCCTACTCGAGAGGAAAGGCGAGCAGACAGCCCTATTGATAACTGAAGGCTTCAAGGATGTTCTTCAAATCGGTACGCAAAGCCGGCCACATATGTTTGACTTGACCATCCGACGGCCGCTACCTTTATATTCAAGCGCCTTCGAAGTCAGAGAGCGAGTGACTGTGCAGGCTTGCAGCGACTCGGATCTCCGAAGGATACATCTGTCATCCCCTGAGCCCGTGGACCAGGTCATGGGAAAGTCCGGGGAGATGATCCACGTGCTCCAGCCCCTAGATCTGCCTAGCACGAGACTTGATCTCCAGACAATCTACGACGAAGGGTTCCGCTCCCTGGCAGTGTGTCTGATGCATTCGTACAGTTTTCCGAGGCACGAGCTTCAGATCCGAGATCTAGCGCTCGAGATTGGATTCGACAATGTATCGCTCTCACACGAGACATCTGCAAGGCCGAAGCTCATCCCCCGCGGTAATTCCACGGTTGTTGACGCATACCTGACTCCTAGCATCAAACGATACCTCCAACAATTCTCACAAAGCTTCCCCAACATTGAAGAATGTCGCACACGACTGGAATTTATGCAGTCCGATGGAGGTCTAGTGCCTTCCTCTAGTCTCTCGGGGCTTCATTCCATTCTGTCGGGGCCAGCAGGAGGTGTGATTGGCTATGCGCGGACCTGCTTCGATTCCGAAACTCGGAATCCGGTGATTGGTTTCGATATGGGAGGAACCAGCACTGACGTGAGTCGATATGACGGCCAGCTGGATCATATATTCGAGACCACGACGGCGGGGATCACCATTCATGCTCCACAGCTCAATGTTAATACAATTGCCGCGGGCGGTGGGAGTATCTTGAGCTGGAAGGATGGACTCATGTCGGTAGGACCGGAGAGCGCCTCTTCCAATCCTGGTCCTGCTTGCTACCGCAAAGGTGGTCCCTTGACAGTGACGGATGCGAACCTCGCGCTCGGTCGGTTGATTCCTGAAGAATTCCCATCAGTCTTCGGTCCGAACGAAAACGAGCCATTAGACAGAGACATCGTTCTCCACAAATTTAAGGAGCTGACCCAGATCATGAACGAGGAGACCGGAATGTCACTTACATGGGCCGAAGTTGCAGATGGGTGAGTGATAGCACAAGTGTATTTTATTGTACTCGTCCTGCTAACAAGTTCCTTCTAAAAAGCTTCCTCCAAGTCGCCAATTCGGCAATGTGTGGGCCGATTCGGAGCTTGACCCTGGACAAGGGCCACGATGTTGCCAAACACCATCTCGCCTCCTTTGGCGGCGCGGGTGGCCAACACGCTTGTGCCATTGCTAGCGATCTCGGTATCCGACGTGTGCTCATCCACAAATATTCCTCCATCTTGTCTGCCTATGGGATTGGTCTAGCAGATGTAGTGCATGAAGAAGAGCGAGTCTGCACGATGGCGTTTGATGAGTCCACTATTGAAGCTCTCAATGATTCCCTGGACAACCTCGTCGAGACTGCCCGACGTAGCAAGACGATGGAGCCATTCAACAATGTCCAAGCTTGCCGGTTCTTGAACATGAGATACGATGGCAGTGAAACCTCCATCATGATACCCTGGGATAGCCCCACTAGTGACGCGAAAGAAGCATTTGTCAAGGCACATCATCAGCAATTTGGATTCACTCCTGTGAACCGTGTCGTGTATGTGGACACCATCCGTGTCCGCGCAATTGGGTGCAGTGTTTTCCAGGAAAGCTCCTCGCGTCTCCAAGCCAAGTCTCTCTCACATTCTACATCTGCTACAATGGAGGCCACCCCGCGCTCGAGGGCCTCCACGTATTTCAGCTCGCTGGGTTGGGTTGACGCCCCTGTCTTTAAGCTTGATACTCTTGTTATGGGAAGTCAAATCCAAGGACCCGCGATGATAATCGACAAAACGCAGACTATCGTTGTCAGTCCAGATGCAAAGGCGACCGTCGCTCAAGACCTCTTGATTCTTGATATCGAGTCAACGAACCCCAAGTCGACTAGTTCGGAAACCATCGACCCAATTCAGCTTTCTATCTTCCGCCATCGGTTCATGGGAGTGGCTGAACAAATGGGCCGCGTGCTGCAGAACGTCAGCACCAGCGCGAACATCAAGGAGCGACTAGATTTCACCTGTGCAATCTTCACACCGAAAGGGGATTTGGTCGCCAACGCCCCTCATGTACCAGCCATGATTGGAAGTATGGCCTTTGCCGTACGGTCGCAGATTGCTGAGTGGCAGGGAAAGTTGCAAGATGGGGATGTGCTACTTTCCAATACTCCAGGTAGGTCTTCCAGCCCTTCGCAGTCAAATGCCAATGTCAAAGCTTCCTACTAACTATCAGCAAAGCCTATGGGGGTGTTCATCTCCCCGATCTAACGGTAATTAGTCCAGTCTTTGACGCTGCTGGGAAGAACATAATATTTTGGGCCGCTTCGCGCGGCCATCATGCTGATGTGAGTGTCTTTTCCATTCAAAATTACTCAAGATGAACACTCACTAACATTCCTCTCGCTATAGGTTGGTGGAATACTCCCCGGCTCGATGCCACCAATGTCAAAGCTACTCGCAGAAGAAGGTGCTATCTTCAACTCACATCTCCTGGTTCGTGCGGGTCATTTCGATGAAGATGAGCTCTATCACGTTCTATGCGTGGAGCCGGCACGTTACCCATGCAGTAGCGGGTCCCGACGGTTCCAGGACAATGTCACTGATCTCAAGGCCCAAGTCGCCGCGAACCACTGCGGCGCTCGTCTCATGCAACGGCTCATCGAAGAGTATTCTTTCCCGGTCGTTCAGGTACGTGCCAACTACCGCGCAAGAATAGAAATAAGTTAGCTCACCAACAATAGGTCTACATGGGTGCAATCCAAGATGCGGCCGAGATGGCCGTACGCACTCTGCTGAAGCGTCTCGCGCATGAGCGCGGTGCAGACGACATTTCTGCAGTGGACTATATGGACGACGGCACCCCGATCAAACTGAAAGTGACAATCAACCCTACCGATGGGTCTGCGATCTTTGACTTCACCGGCACTGGTCCAGAAGTATACGGTAAGAACATTCATCGACCTTCCTCTCGTTTGAACATCAAGCTCTAACCCAGTGGGTGGCAGGAAACTGGAATGCTCCCATCGCAATTTGCAATTCTGCGGTCATTTTTGCCCTGCGCTGCATGGTCAACTCGGATATCCCGCTCAACCACGGCTGTATCAAGCCCGTCAAGATTGTCATCCCGGAGGGCTCGCTCCTGTGTCCCAACCCGGAAGCGGCCGTCTGCGCCGGCAATGTGCTGACGTCGCAGCGCATCGTGGACGTCATCTTCAAGAGCTTCCGTGTGTGTGCCGCAAGCCAAGGATGCATGAACAACCTGACCTTCGGCAACGACGGCGAGAATGGGTTCGGATACTACGAGACCATCGCCGGGGGCAGCGGTGCCGGCCCCAGCTGGGCCGGAACCGGAGGCGTCCACACCAACATGACCAACACGCGGATCACCGACCCGGAGTCGCTCGAACGGCGATACCCGGTGCTTCTGCGACAGTTCAGTCTTCGTCACGGCAGCGGTGGGGCGGGCAAATATCCCGGTGGCGATGGAGTGATCCGGGAGCTTGAGTTAAGGCTCCCCATGTCGGTGTCGATACTCTCGGAACGACGGAGCTTCGCACCCTACGGGATGGCAGGCGGAGAGGATGGCCAGCGGGGGAAGAATACCTGGATCACGAAGGCTGGTCGCCGGGTCAATGTCGGGGGGAAGAGCTCGGTCCTGGTTCAACCGGGCGATCGGTTCATGATCGAGACCCCTGGTGGTGGTGGCTATGGATCCCCTGAAAAGGTGGTCAGCACAGGAAGGGACGACTCGATAATCATGCCCGCATTCATACCCGTGGCTAATGGCAGTGTGGCTGCACATCGGAATCTGGCGGAACAAGTTTGAGACTGTGAATACACCATAGTAAGAGAAATTCAGGCTTGTCAAATCTAGGTCTATCTTGAGATGGTGCTTCTTAGAAGATATCATCCAATTGACGCCAACTCTATACTAGGGAGCAGTAGCCGCGCCTCACCAGACATGAAGACATGAGAGCCTCCTTGATTGTGCACGCTCTAGATGCAATGAAATTCGACTGATGAGTCATGGACTTTTGGGGAGGACTTCGAACGTGAAGTCTTCGCCATGAAGCTTTGACCCTGTCGCAAATATGACATAGGAATTTCTTCTCCTCATGAGAGTTGCTTGAATGTGACATATCAGCGTAGTTCGGCCTGGAATAAAAGAATTACAAACTAAGTTTTGTCAAACTGTAACGCGCTAGTGGTGTGATAATCTCCTCTTGGATCGTAGATTGTAAACTATGTTGTGTCTATGGAACAAGAAGACAGGGCAGAAAGGTGGCCAGATCAGAGCGCCATTGAACGCTTTCGGTGACCAAACCTTTGAACATAGGTGATACTCTGCAGGTCTGGATACGTATATGGTCAGCATCTCACAACATCGTCCGGTACTAAGTGATTCAGTGTTACCTAGGGCCCTTCGAGTGGGGCTCATATTTTCACCGCGGACCGAAATAAGCCTGTATTGAGTTACCTCTGTAGAGCCCTGTCGAGGAATAATCTCTCCGAATGCCCACAGGAGGCTCCGGGCCGCATTCCTCGCACCAATGCCTCTTCCGGCAACGGCTCAGTGGCACTTCGGCCTCGAATGATTCAAGCCGTCCTGGTTCAAGTCCATAAAATGCCGCAGAAGGTCCTGTCGCATTCCCAATCGTCTGTCGTTGGCAACCAGGAACGAAAGACTCAGGGTCAGAATGGTTGAAGCAATTCAACCTGCACCCACTATCCTAGTCGATGAGGCCGAGCGTGGCCTGTCTTGTCAACTTTGAGACTCTGAGTGTGTCCGAGTTCGCTCGTAGAAGACCAAGTTGTGTCTTGATATTCCCCCCCTTCAACTACGATTGGTCGGGGAATGATCCGTACGCAGACCAAGGGGGAATAAGCTTAAGGCCTATCCGGCCCCACTTTAGGCGCACGTTACGTATATCAATGGCAACAGAGATTTCCTCCACCACGGTTGCCGCGGATTTATCTTTACACGCCACCAGGTGATGTTATTGTGCATAGCATGAAGTGGTCCCTCTAAGTCAAATCCAGAGAGCCATCACACAGAAGGCAATGGTCTGTCAGAGGTGACCTGACGATTCGACCAGCACGAGATCTGGACCTATATATCCATGCGTTACAGTGAGTACCATACGGAGAGACACGATACGTATCTGGGCGAGGTTCTCCACACCATTCCCATTAACTGCATATAGACTCAGTATCTCGGACACCTTCCGAGTCCCGACCGATGCCCAGATAAGTTTGACATTGCCAAGTCGATCGATAGTTTCCCACGAGGACCCACAGCAAAGCCGCAACGGGAGTTCCTTCTGTGATAACTACCTCTGACCGCGAAATCGATACGGTGCAGGAGGTCTGAGCGTGGAGCACGATGGCTGGAGAAAGGTCACAACAACTGCCTCGCTTCGGGTCTAGTGGCTTTCAAGGGGCGGCAGAAAAGATATAAAAGGCCAGTCATTCACCAGGAGCTCCCATCGCCTTGATTCCCACACAACCCATTGAATCCTTTCAAGTCGCAGCTCTCCTTTTCTCCGCCACATCGCAGCCTCAACCATGCTTGCCGACGGGTATATCATCTTTCTCACTGTTATCCTTGATCTTTGTGCTGCTGTTATCCGGTACCGAACCGGAGAATGGTCCTCTCCCGCCAAGTTCTTTCTGGTCTGCTCGCATTTGACCTTGCTGGGCGTTGCCTTGCGGGCTACAACGGGACTCACGTAACTTACATCCCGGAGTCCACCGAGTGGGATGGGGTCCAATCTGACCGTCACCTTTGACACGGTCAGTGCCGACTACGTGAGTCTTTACGCGCAGAATGGGGAGCTCGCCAAGCGCACGAGGATTGCCACTGCTGTGGCGTACGCGACGGTGGTCGGCGAGGTCTCAACCCTCGTTCTAGCCGCCGAGGCTGGCGTCAATATCTATCAGTACATTGCGGCGATCATTAAGGCCAAGTCCACCGCCTACTCGTGCACGGTCACCTACGGCGTCGACTTCGAAGAAAGCTGTGTCGAGGGCTACGCTTACGAGGCCACGACCTCCGGCTCGAACTGCGAGACCACCGCGGAGAAAAAGACGATCTTGGCCGCTGTCGAGAAGTGTGCCACCGCCCTGAGTGCCGCCGGCGCCGTCCGTGGTTGCTGTACGATGACCCATGGAGGGACCTGGGAGGGTCACTTGCGCTTGACCGCGGAGCCGAGCGTTTACCCTGCTACTACGGTGACTTGTTTAGTGAAAGGGTCTCGGACAATGGGTAGCGAGCTGTGATCGGACGAGGTTGGAAGGGGGAATCAAGGAAGAAGCTTATATCTACCATATAACGCGGTCACTCACTCCGTAGAATAGGATGAACAAGTAGAGGAAGGTGACATGATTCATGACATTAACTTCCTTGCCACTACGGAGCCAAAAGCTCAAAGGGCTTGTGACAGAGTGGGCAGTCTTTTATCCCGTGAATGCAGCTCCCACAGTAAATCACAGTCTTCAACCCAGTACCACCGTCTGTTCTGGATGTCAGGCCGCAGTCATGGCACCTCTGATTACGCCCCACGGTTTTAACATCCAAACAAACATCGCAATGTGGAGAGAAGGGTTGTTGCGCCAATTCGCAACGAGCAAAGAACAGGCCCTCAATGCTTGGTAAGGGATCCTCGTGCCCCATGCCCAGCTTGCCTTTCATAAGTTCGGTGACCTCTGCCCAAGGTGGAGAAGCACTTGCATTCTGCATAAGGTATGAATTGCTTTTATATTTCTGTCTTCTGTAGTACTCTTGAAGTGGTGTGGATCCCAACGTGTCCTCAATCCGGATTTCGATGTCGGGATGGTCGAGCAGCAATTTAACCACCTCGACCTTGTTGAAGCTGACACCAGAAAACAAGGGCGTTCGACCGAATATGTCTCGGGGATTGGGGCTGCAGCCCGCCTGCAGAATGCGTCGCACAAGAGATGCATCGCCTCGCGCGGCGGCCCAGTGCAATGGAAGGCGTTGAAACTCATCGCAGAATTCAGGACTCCCGGCGTCCTGCAGCATGGCCGCAAAGGCCTCTTGTTCTTCGTCCGAGCCAGATGCAGCCAAGCAAGACAGCCCCCAGAAGTGCGGCGAGACATTTGAATCCATGACCAGGCGGGGAGCATATGCGCCGTGTTTCAATAGGAGTCGAGTGATTGCGACATGCCCCTTCCGTGCTGCAACGGTCAAAGGATCTTTATCCGGCTTTTGGATGCCCCGTGCGCAAGCTTGCCGGCCAAGGAGTAGCTCAACAACCTTGATATTGCCATTTGCTGCTGCAGTGTACAAAGGGGTCTTCTGGCATATGTTCTGGTGGTTCACGTCGGACCCTGCGTCGAGTAACACTTTTGCGACCAGGGCATGGTCTCCCATAGTAAACAGCGACTCGGGACCGAGTTAAACCCCGGCCCCGCCTCTGGCAGCAGCGAAAAGTGCAGTTTCCTTACTGCGTGTCTGAGAATGGATGTACACGCCCCAGTTGATCAGCATGGTAACCATTTCGGCATGACCATATGCTGCTGCATAGAACAGTGGTGTGAAACCCTCGAGTGTCTCGGCATTGATATCGGCTTGGATACCAAGCAAGGTACTGACCACGCTGCTGTTGCCTTGCGCAGCAGCCCATATTAGAGGTGTACGGCCAAGGTGGTCTCGAGCGTCCGCCCGAGCGTCCGCCCACTTGGTCCCAGGACGAAAGATGAACTTGGGAACATGATCTTCCAGACCGAGCAGCGCTACGAGATGAATTCCAGGGGATTTGAGCCCCGCTTCCAGACCAAACATCTCACACATGCACCGAGAAACCTTCAAGTCATTCTCGAGGAATGTCATGAGAAGCGAATATTTGCCCAAGCTGTGACGCAGATGGGTCCTTAGCTCGTGAGCTGCGTACGAATAGAAAGGGTACTCTGGTCGCGGCACTGCTTGTCGCCGCTCGTCAAAATCCTCAAACGATGCGTACGTAAGACATGTATTGGTCAAGTATTCATGCATGTCCGGAAACCAAGTCTGCCAGGTCCGATTCAGATACTCCTGGGCCGTGAGATGTACCATCCGAGTGGTGTTGGCGTGTTTGTCCGCCACGACTAGCCCACAGCAGACGGAAGCTATATCGTCAATACCAGTTACATTGGTTTCGTCGAGCTCGGGTGCACCAATTTCCACTGCTATAGCGTCCTGTAGCTCCACAGCAGAGAGTGGTCGTGCAGAGAATGCAATCCATGCTAAAGCTCTCTTGGCGAGATCCTGGGAGACGGCGCTCTGTTGCTCGATCCTCTTCATCGTCTCACCGTATGCGTGATCGTAAACTCCCGACTTGGAATGCAGCTTCTGTCCCAGCGCTCGGACGCCCTTTAAGTTCTTTTCGTCGAGAAGCAGGGTATAGTAGAGGCGGACCAGTAGGGATCTGGAGATTGTTAATTACTGTCTTCCGGAACTGGCCAGGGACCTTGCTACTCACATCCCTCCCGCGGATTCAATGATCTGGTGTCGAATATACTTCCAGAGCTCGGGCTTCCCCTGAAGGAACTCTGGCAAATATGTTACGTTTCCATCGAGAAAGCTTTCCACATCGCCTCTGCTCGCTTCGATCTCCAAGCAAGTCACATTTCCAGGGGAGAATTTGCCAAAATGGTCGCCGTGACGGGCTGTTGCGAGGAATCTACCCTTAATACGGCCGTTGGGCTTCAGGGTGTCCTGACCCAGGCAAGGAGTTGACGTCGCACATAAAGGTCAGAACATTCATCCAGTGCATCGATAACATATATAAGCTCGTTCCACTCAACTAAAGCAAGTTTCAATGTTTCTTGCACTTGTGCGCCTGTCAGGCGGTTGTGCGCTCGCCATCGTCGGGGAAGTTTCCTAGCGATGATCTCGGGCAGGAAGGCCTGGGTTGGCCTGGACCATGCTAAGTAGCAGGGTGGCTGAGTTGGGGTCGTGTAGCATAGCCGCCTATGCACGTTGACAGGGATCTTGCAATGCCACCATTGCTCAACAGGGATTATGTGGCTCGAACACCTGGACATGCTTGCTACTTTGATAGAGCTGCCACAGAGGGGATGTAAGAAACTGATTAGTAAGAATGACCTGCTGACCCTATGTGCGCCCGGATGGATGTCTATATGCACCACTGGGTGAGATCAGGAAACTCGGTTCTCAGTCTTGAATGCCTTGCCTCGGTCATACCCCAACTACCGCCAGACCCATGCGAGGGTCTCTCTATGAATGGCGCTGGGTGAAGATAAAGATCGATAATCCCTGCGCATTGCTCTATCCATACTTATTAATAAGTACCTGTCGCAGACATCAACGCAGTTATTGCCGCTCCTGGCTGTTGCTTCATTCTTCAGATCAGTGCTTGACTTACAGTTGTCCCCCGGCGTGATTAGAGAGGTGAGAAGAGGTGTACTGTATCTGCCGGCCAATTTATACATTTAGGCTTCTGACATTTTCTTGGCATCGACGTGAACGCCTCCACCCCCAGCTGACTGCACCGTCTTTGAACATGTTAAGGATATTATCCATGCGGCTTATACACTGACGCAAAGGCAAGACATAAAAAAAAACAAAAAGAAAGAACAAAAGCAGTCAGACGAAAAAGAGAACACACAAAACCGCCAAAAACATACAACAGAAGGGATTCGCTGGTGGTCACCCACCCAACTACTAACCTCCCGGCGTGTGGCTTAAGTACGGCTGAGCGGACGGGAAGCCCTGTTTTCCACACCCTGTGGTCGTATGTGTTTGGTTCTGACTTTACAAGGCATAGGTAGTGGTATGTGCCAATCCAGGCCTGAGGGAAAAGGCAAAACGTCTCGAGCCAACCGGCTTCAGGTTACCTCCAGTTCCTGCTCCACGCGGCCTCAGCCTGGATTTTGTGGAGGATTGGGAAGGGTGGCGCTCGATGGAAGGGCCGCCGTCGTTGCGCAGCCCTGCGCATAATCTCTGCCACCAATCCCTCGTCTTCACTGGTGTTCAGCACCAGGGTCCGCAAACGAGTCAAGCGGACGAGGAGGATCGCCGCCCAGGCCTCTGTGTTTAGGTTGTATAGATGCACTCTCCACCCGCGTTTGAGACTCGGTTGCTGATCGCCGAAGATCTCGGTTAGAGCGTGCTCGATGAACACTACGGCTTCAGGCTGCTGGGCATTGAATGTCCCATGGCGTCGCCTTGCCCTGGCAGATCCATCCCACAGGACCTCCAACCGACGCACGCGACAAGCGAGCGCTGGATTCTTCCAGAGTCGCATGATCAGAGCGATATCCCGGGCCGTTGTGGGATTCGCGGTAAGAAGGATGTCGGAGTCAAGTAGCGGTTGAAAGACATGATGGAACCGCTTGGAGCATAGACACAGCGCCCGCACGGTTCTTGAGCGGTATCTGCCCTCCCGACTGTATTCGCCGATAGAGGTAAGCAATTCATTTGGCAGTAGCTCCATGATATCTGATGCTTGTGAGTCCCATATTTCGTGAGCGAGATTGGGTGAATAATGTGTTGGAACGAAATGGACAAAGAGTACATTAGAAAACGCGGGGGATTCACAGTCACATGACTGTTCTCGGAGTACAGACTGCTGCTCCACCATGGCCGGCAGCAGTTGAGTGGTATTTTTGCCTGCCCCACCTTACTTGTTTATATGTGTTTGTCCGTGTTTGTCTGTGCTTTTCTGCGTGTGTTTGCTTGTACCGTGGACGTTTGATTGGGCTACCCCCACCGAGTGCAAAATGTTCAAATCCAACAAACAGAATAATTGTATTGCTAGGTATAGATATAGGTAGTAATCATCCGCCATGCTCACCAAAGAGTCGAACAAACTGTAAAGAACGATAGGAACTTGAATATGGAATAGTCTTCTTCTCCCTTTTTTTATATTTTATCATCTCTGGTCTCTGTCTCCTCCCAGCATCCACTTCATTCACTTGTTGTTTATAGTTCAAACAACAAGATCCATCCGTGACTGCAACCAGCATGCCGAATCGTATCGCAGTGTATGGCCATCGGGGTTGGATGGGATCTGCAACTGTTCAGAGACTGAGCGAATTGTTCGCTGTCGTTAAGGTTCTTTATCGGCCAGACTCCAATGCCCAAGGCTTGCGATGAGAAGGCTCCGGTTGCTGCTCTCCGGAATGTCCAGATTCTCATGTGAAATGTCCTTGCTGTTTGATGAAAGATTGCACGATTCACAGAACTGACTGGACGACTATAGCTCTTTGGTCGGCCACTCTGCGATCGACTGCCAGTACGATCTGATCAGAGCTATCCCGAAGACCAAGATTCAATTGTTTGTTCCTTCCAATCTCGCCGTCCATTACCGCAGGCAGGGACTAGGGACAGAGCCCATCAGTGCCAAGATCAAAGTAGGAGAGGCAGCGGAGAGGCTGGGCGTGCCAACAGCAGTCGTGCTGACCGGCAACGTCGCGGAATTTGCGCTTGATACACCGTAAGTAGACCCCTTCCCCGCCCTGTGTTTGGGCCAGAAAAACAAGGGGCTGGCGGCTGACATCTGTCTACCGAGTCATGGGGGTGGACTGTAGGCATAATCGCATTATTTTCACAGGAAACAGTGCATCACAGCCACTGAATCTATGGTAATCCCCGCCTTCAACGCCGTTCCCTAGCTGCCACTGATTGAACTCCTCCGTTCAGTCTATCGGAACTGACACCCACCGGGGACAAGATCGCACAAGCGCTTGACCAGAGGTTCGGAGCGACTTCAGCGAAGCACACGGGTTCTATTGAAGAGGTCACTCGCCGGGTGAACGCCATGATCGAGGCCAACGACCCACTAGCGCTTGCCTGGTACACGCGTAAGAACTGTGGAAATGGCGATCAGCTAAAATTTCTCGGGTCGAATATGTCGGAGGTGGAGGGTTATGAGACAGAATCCATTGAGGACTTGCTGGTGGCAGAAAACTCGGAAAGTATCGGGCTCGGCCGGAAGAGGTCACCAAGACCTTTGAGTCTGAATTTATTGACTGTAAACAGGCTTGGATGGCTGGGAGATTCAAAGATATGCATGTCTTCACTCTAATGCAAATCATATAGTACATATTTCTCATTGCAAAGTTATCTACACATTTGCTTTTTATCAAGCAGAAACTACGTGGGAGTGGGCGAAGAGCAGTACGGGTGTTTGTTTATCTAAGGAACTATACTTGAACTACTTTTTAGTTTCTATGTAGTTGGATAGGCAGAGACTAGCAAGCTGCTTGTGTGGCGTCTTATAACTATTTGGGCGTTGAGTAGTTGGTGGACGGTCGTGGCGGAATGTTTTCGCTGCCCTATAGCATATGTCTAACTGTTTCATGACCTTGATATTCAACAGACCGCAACCCATCGGCAGTCACTTGACTGATAGATCTCGTCCGAGACAGATACTAATCTTCGTATAGACTACGCGAAGCGCTTTACTAGAGGTGTGGAGTTTACATAGGAGGAAGTCTCTAACATGCCCATCTAAGCAACAGATACATAGTAGCATGGCAGCTAACTCCATAGAGCAACGCAAATGGTCTACTGGTTGACAACGCCGAAGAAAGTAGAACCAAACAGGCTGCTGATGAGGGATTCAATCAAAATCATCATCTGCCTTGTCTGCGTGCAGAGGCCTAAGCAACTAATTCTTTTGCCTGTATCAAAAACCAGAGCATGGGAAGCAGGGTTTGTTCGCTCAATTTAGATCTCCCGTGGGAGAGTCTCGTTTTAGCTTGAGCTGCCATATAGCCCCATGTTCAAGTTCAACACTTTCAAGTCGAAGGAACAGCGACAGAGACAGGAAAAACCGGCAAGTTTCGGTTTATCTAGAGCCCAGTCAAGGAGACCCCGTATATGAAGAACTAACTGCCAGCATAATCCATCTCCCAGCCAATCACTCCCCCAGCAACTTCATCATTCACTGCCTGTACCATCTTTGATATCAACTTACTTTCCCTCCATAACTGGTGATAGTGAATGTATCGTGAGATAGTGTCGGCGCTCAAGGATTATAATGGCCTCAACACTTCGTCTCTTGTTCTCTCCATCTCCCACTCTCTCTCCTCCTCTCATGCTCTTCACTTCTCCTTCCTCCTTCCATACCGTATGGCAACTCCAACTCGACAGAAACCATGAAGCTCTCCACCTTGTGGTCTGTCTTCAGCCTCGCTGTCGCTGCTGGCGTTGCAGTCGGCGATTCTCCATCTCTTTCTGATGCCACCATCGTCGAGACGACCAACCTAGCGACGAGCATCTCCTGCGTCACCTATCACACGTTTGTGACACATACTTACACTGTCAAAAAGGGAGCAACCATCTCGCAGACTGGCAGCGTCACTTCGTCCGTTCCCGTTGCTGTTACCTCTACAACCTCGAAGACCTCCAACGGACCTGCGACTTCGACTCAAGGTGTTCTATCGACTACTAGTGGGCCTAATATCTCGAAGATCTCCTCGTCTACCGCTACGTTTCCCGTCTTCCCTTTCCCTTTTACTCTGTCTTTGCCAGGAATCGGGATCTGGCCAGCGGTCAAAACCTCCTCGACCTCAAACCATGGAACGGCGCCGACTGGTGGAACTCACAGCAGCGGAACCTGGCTTTCTACTGCCGAACCTCAGTCTTCTCGTGGAACGTCTAGTGTTAAACAAGCTTCCACTAGTACCACCGACGTAACGGGGAGGACCAGTTCCGCGCAAAGCAGTACTAAGCCCAGTGGGGGCGCGACCACTGGGACTGCGCATGCTAAAATTACAGGTGATGGAACGGGGATCATCAGTACCACCCACTCTAGAGCATCAAGTGTCACTGGCCCTGCCGGTGCAACGCTCACCCAGCCACCTTCCATAACTACCAGCCTGCCTCCAAGCCCTATGATTACCTCCAGCGCGTCCGTCATTGCCGTCCGCTTTCACAACGTCGTCACAATTATCACATTCTGGGAACTGAGCCCCGAGCCACGGCCAGATAAACAAGTCATCGACAACGTCAAGCAAATCAAGGATGATATTGCTGATCTGGCGAAGACCATGGGCGAGAAGCTCCCAAAGTGCAATCAAAAGAAGCGCGGTCTGTTTGACGGTCTTCTGAACCTCGCCGGAGACACCACCAGCCAGATTTTGGATAAGTTCGGTTGTCTTGACAACAAACTGGATGACCTTGTGGCAAGAATCAAGAACAAGGACGTCAAGGGTGTCAAAGACATCGTGAAGGCTCTGGACATTGAAAAGCCCCCTGCTGACCCTAAAACCTCGGCGACTAACGGACCTGGCAATGACAAGAAAAGCTCCAGCCGCTCGTCCTCGTCCTCGTCATCGTCGTGTACCTCGCAGTCAACCGCACACCATGTCACGATCCTCTGCCAGCCAACCTCTATCACTACCGGTGGCTCGACGTTTACAACCACAACATGCACCCGGACTACTACCATCACCACCACGGGATGCTCTGTCACCGCAACGACGACCACAATCACCAACACTCCGAGCTCCACTCCGACGAGACGCCTCTGCGCACAGGAAAACTGCGGTGCTGCATGCTTAGCCGGGAAGGGGGGTGGGTGTCAATCTCATCGGTGGAATGTGCCTCTATCCCAACCAGTACTGTAGGAGCACTGCCTACGGGCAACGGGGGAAGAATCCATCGCCGGTATAGCTCTCTTGGCAAGGACACAGGAGTCGAATCATCCAATCAAACCTATACCTTTGGCAAGCGAGCCCTACAGGATCTTTCCGCCGTGGACCCAAACCACTATCTGCCCAAACTCAACCACGCTATAACCCAGAACGACCACTGGGCTAGCCAAAGCGAGCCAGTGACGGGCAAATGGTATCGCTGGCCTGATCTGCAGTCCGCGCTTGGCGTGAAGGGCCTCCACGGCTGCACTGTGCTGATGATCGTCGCGAAAGAGGGCGTCTACCTCTCGCACATCTTTGAGTCCCCCATTTTCCGCACCCTGACCGAGCCCGATGTAGCCGACGACTTTTTCATGGAGCAAACGTTCACCGCACTGAGTACCGGGCGTACCGGGCCTGCCGGAGTGGTCAACAATCAGATCGAACCCCTGCAAGGTCTATGGGGAACGGACGCCAACCCCGGCCCCCTGCATCGCACCAACAACCCCCAGCTCATCATCATCACCCCTTTCTTGCCCGAATGGCAACCCCAGGAATATATGTACGCTCGCCGAGTCAAATGGCTCGCTGCCCAGTTCAACCGATTCCTCTACTTCCCCACCGGGGGAGCTCCCGCAGATAAAGCCCCAATCATCCGCGGTTACGAGCCGACGGATTTCTGGCAGTCCAACAATGATGATTCCTCCGTGGGGAAAGTCGTGATAGAAGTCGACAAGTACAACAATTTCCTGCAGGCGGGCAATCACCTTCTGGCTGTGGGTCAATGGCGGCTGTGGCTGTGTGGGCAATATGTCATGGACTACGACTTCTGGGATCTGGCGGCGATTCTTCAGCCTGTTGCTCAGCCGCAGGGGCATATGCAGCGGCGAGATCGGTGCCCGGGGCGTTTCATTTCTCTTCATCCTACGCTGGTGACTTCGACAAAGACTGCCGCTACGGGCACCAAAAGCTCGTCCACTACCAAGTCGGCTACAGCCACACCGACACCTCAGATAAGCGATCAGACCTGCCTCCCCAACAAAGACTTCCACCAACCACTCGACTCCCACATCGTCGACACTGTCGCCTCTCTCTGCTGGCGCGGCACCCAGATCCCCTCCATCGATTTCGAGATGGGATCCGACAGCAAACCACTCACATGGTCCTCGGGCAGCCCCACGATGACGAACTGGCAGTACCATGTCACGATCACCTGGGTGAAGGGATGCAAGGGACCAAAGCAGAAGCCCATTGCGCCGACCGGGCAAGAGGGGACCAAGTACACCTGTGAGAATATTGTCAAAGATAACTTCAGCAAGTGCATGGTTGATCATCGCAGCTACGGTGGGAGTAGAGTGTTTGGGTGTTTGGAGTATCGGGGTTGGATAGAGCATTGATTCTTAGGCCAGATTCTGGGTGTCCTCACCTTTGCTGTGGCTGGAAGCTCAACGTTAGCTGACATGCTGTCAATCACTTTGTCCTTCTCCATAGCTTTCTGTGTTCTACACCTTCAGCAGACTTACGAGTTTAGATGGTTAACATGTGTATTTCATTCGATGATATCTAGCTAAGAGCATAGGTTCTCCCTTTCGATTGCCTGAAGCCTAGTAATAGCATGCCTTTTGTGAGATAACAAGAAGTTTGTGAATGACGGGTCAAAAGGATAACATTCTACAATGCTCTAGCAGTTCTGGACTTGATCAAGCTCTTTACAACCGAGCGTAAGAAGTATAGTATTGTAGCAACGAACGTTGATGTTGCAGGGAAGATGTCAATGTCAGGGCCAAATTGAGACTCCGATCGCGGAAAGCATTCCGCCCTGCTGAATCAGCCGCCGTCAGCTCTGACTCACCAGGCCCTAAAATCACTAACTTTTACTAACCTCACTAATGAAATGAGTTGAAGAAATTTACTCTCCCTAGACATAACTCCCATAGTACAATATTCTCTGGCTTTCATTTTCCAAAATGTCTGAATCCACTCCCCCCCTTGACACCAGTCCAGCCATCCGGCCGACCCGCACCCCCTTCGCAGGCCGTTCCGTGCGCGTTGAACCCCTGGCCGAGCAGCATGTAGACGATCTATACCACCACATTGGCCAGCCCGAACACACCTCGCTTTGGGACTACCTCCCCTTCGGACCCTTCGCGGACAAGCCCACCTTCACCCAGTTCCTCGACACGCTAATCACCCATGCCGACAGCGTCTTCTACGCGGTGGTCGACTTAACCCGCAACCAAGCCGTCGGCCTGCTCAACTTCATGCGCATTGACCTGCCCAACCGCGTCGTGGAGATTGGGTCGGTGGTCTTCTCCCCCTTGCTGCAGCGCACGACGGCCGCGACGGAGGCGTTGTACTTGCTCGTGCGGGCGGCGTTTGAGCAGTTTCATTTTCGACGGCTGGAGTGGAAGTGCAATGACCTGAACGCGGCGTCGAAGCGGGCGGCGGTGCGGTTGGGCTTCACGGCCGAGGGGGTCTTTCGACAGCATCTGATTGTCAAGGGGAGGAACCGCGATACCGCTTGGTTCTCGATTCTGGATGGCGAGTGGCCCGCGATAAAGGGGGGCTTTGTGAAATGGTTAGACCCGAGTAATTTCGATGGGGAGGGGCTTCAGCGGGCGAGGCTGGAGGCTTTGCGCGGACTGTAGGCAAGGGTCCAGTCCAGCCCTTCTCCATTTCTTTCCTTGTTGGACTTAGAGGCAATCTCGGCTCGGGGACAGTGGCAACCGTTTGGGGAGAATCGGAGACCCTGGATTAGATATGGTGACATTGCCACTAGATGGATAGGTACTATCGAATTAATATAGCATCAATCTTAGCTCCGGTGGTCTTCTTTTCAGGTGTTGGTAGAGAAAATCCCTTTATAAAGAATTGCGACACTTTACACTTCACTTATTATCCATTGTATGGGAACTCCTGTCTCTCCTGTTGTTTTCTTCTAATTTTTTTTCTCTTCTTCTATTTCTAATTCTGGCCTCTCCTTTCTATCTGCACTGCGTGGGCGAGCAAAAAGCTTTTCCTCTTGTCAATATTTAGCTTATTTTGTCGTGAAAAACCTCGGCTGCACGAAACAGACTATTTTTGCTAGCTTCTCCACCAGACCCTGAAAAGTCCGCCGTCCTTCGTCCCTGGCGTCTTGGCTGTGCCGAGCCGTTAGTTAGTTAGCGAAGTCTTCCTGTGCCAGCACGTTAGGTTAGTTACCCTTTATCTCTACTTAACCCCCACGCATCATCGAGGCGCACGACACGATTGGTACCGCATATTGGAATGCAAGTTAAGAATCAGCTCGACATTTGGCAAAAATCAAAATAAAAAAGTATAGTACATTTCTAATATAGGTTGCAAGAGTTCTAGCCCAAATCACTAATCTAGTCGACGTGAATCCGCCGCAGACACCGGTCCGACTTGCCCGTAAACGAGCTGCGCGTATGCATCGTCGTCACATTATCGCTGATCAGCCAGTCGCCTTCCTCCCAACAATGCCAGTAAGCCACGCGACGATCGTGCAGCAGGCTATCGAGGGTTTGGCACAGTTCCTCCGAGTTGGGCACATCCTGGATGGTAATCTTGGTCGGGTCAAAAACCGTCTTCTCTTGTGGCCACGGCTCGTGGTAGCGGAGACAGGGACGCTGGTGCGTAAAATGGTCCACCACGAGAGGGAGATCGGTGATCTTGGTGTGGTCGAAGGAGACAGTTTCGACCGTCCAGGACAGAGTGCGCAGGTATTCGATCGAGTATTTAGATGGTAGATAGTGCCAGACCAAGTGGGAGGGGGAGAAGAGGGTGAATCCGGTGTCGTTGGGCGAGGGGGTCATTCCCGTGAAGAATTGGTATCTGGTGCAGTGGCCATGGAATGAGTATGGCTGTTCGTTAGGACCGTAGGCAGTGACTTACTTCGGAGGACAGGATCGAACAACCTCCTGCCCATCTGCATCTTTCATCTTGACAACCTTGAACAGGCCATCGTAGTGGAACGGCATCCACTCCGACGAGAGAACATTGTTCAAGCCCTGGGTATCGGTGCCGTGGTCCTTCACCTCGAGGATGAGGCCGAATTTCCACCCAACGGGAGTCCCCATCTCCTCGGCCTTTTTCACGAAAAGCTCCCGGTCGCGTGTATCCTGAAATCCCCGTAAAATGACGGGGGAGTTTTCTTCTGCCAGAGCGCGAAGCTTACGCATGTCCACTTCTGCGCAAGACATGGATTGTGTAGGTCGGATGATCAGGCCACAAGGGTACTGAGGCTCGATTTCCACGGGTTGTGGCCAGGAATATAGATCTGACTTGTAGCGGTAGGACCACGGCTGTCCTGCCTTGTAAACCAATTCAATATTGGGGTTGTGGTCGAATGACTCGCGTAGGCCATATTCCACGCGGCCGTCGAGGGTGAAGCACGGCGTTGAGTGCCAGGGTGTCACACAACGACGAGCCAGAGGCAAGACCTGAACGGAGATTTTGGCTGAGCCGCATGACGGGTGAATCGACAGTCGAACATGGTCCGGGTAGTTCTTCTTGATCGCCTCTGCGAATGCCTGGATGCCAAATTCAAAATTAAGTATCGGCACACTAGCAGCACACTACCAGCACACTGTGGTCTAGGTGGTCTGTCTTACCTTTCCACGAGCAATCATTTGCTTAGCAATAGCCTCGAGCTTCTGCTTGTGAAACTTTCTCGATACCTCGCCCCCTTCCACAAAGGTATGTTCCAAATCCTTGGCCAGAAACTTGATATATCCTCGGTAGGTGGTGCACACATCCTCGTCGGCCTTGATACTCTCGACACAGTCGTAATCCAGGGGCGTGAAATTGTCAATCAACCGCTGACGAAAGGTGCCTGCCAGCTTTTCGTAGGTGGTAGCGTCAAGGGGAGTGTCGATTTTCCAGTGGACGAGGTCCCGGAGACGAATGAACTGGAGGTATCGGTAGCCCTGCGTCTGGACCATTTTCCGCAGCGCCTCGCCGTACGTATAAACCTCCGCGTCGGGAACACCTAGCAGGTCTACCCCCTATGAGTCTTATCCACGACCAACATGTCCCTCGAGAGTTTCGGTTAAACTTACCATTATACACCAGGCCGTCGGAAGCGATGGTCAACTGAGCCCCTGGTTCGTAAATGTCCGCGATCGCCGCGCATAGTCCGTTGAGATGGGCCAAGGCAAGGTCCTCCCCTTTGTCCGGTAAAGACCCAAGAACTTTGTCTTTTCGATTAGGTGACTTGAACGGAAAAGCAGGTAGGATCAAGGAGACTGATTTTCCTGCTCTCACGCGAGTGTAGATCAGGGATAGAAACTTCAGAGTCCCCTCGTCGCTCCGGTCCACCAGCGATGCTGGAACGGGCATGCGATACCGGTAGATGACGTTCAGAATCTCCCACGCCTTGTGGAGGGTAGCCAGGTCAAAGATCGGCTCGGCCCCGACCGAGGTCAGGGTCGATTGAGCGATGGGAGGCTGCACCATGACTGCGCTCATCTTGGGCGATTGCTATGACGCGATTCAATGTCGAGCGCTGAGCAGTTGGTGATGATTTTTATTGGTGAAGTCCTCCCTGCTTGAGGTCCAGCGAGACATTTAAAGCCCTATGAGCCTGTCAAGAAAAAGAAGCTGATTCTATCCCGACACTAGTAGTTCCGAGTATTGCATGAGGCTGCACCATCGGGTCAATTCCGCATTCGGAACATAGATGACTTGGTCAGAATCTCATTGACTACCTTGGTATCTAGATCAGGGGGCTCGCTCATGCAATCACTTCCTTAGTGGATGTAACCTCATCTCCAACATGGTCAGAGTGACAAGGGTTATGGTACGATAGGAAGATATTAAAACTGGTCAAAATGCGTCTCGCACCCGTGCCAAGCCAAGTAGTAGGGCTGGGCTGAAGAACTTGGCAGCCTAATGGTCGAGTCGATATCCACTATACATCTACTATATCAAGTAAGTGAGTAAGTCCAAGTGGAACCTGCATTACTGAAATGAAACAGATGCAATGCCCGATTCCCACTGCCGATGCAGGGACCGATGCTTCATCATTCGCTCTGGACCCTCTCATGGCCCACTTCTCGGCGGAGACTTTTCACCCATAATTCTCCCGGTTATTGTTCGCCTTTCGTGGTTCGTGCTTGTTCTTCCTGAGCCCCGGTCTGCGCGCTGGTGGCGCCATTGCTTTGAGCATTTCTTAGCCTTGCGGCTGAGACATACCTAATCTATCTTGTCCTCCTGCACTTCAGATGCATTTCTAAGCGCGGAATTGGTCCATGTAATGGGAGTTGACTAGTCGCAATGCTTGTCATCTATTCTGCATCTCAGGGGAACGAGGGTACTATGTTCGAGCAGAGAAGCATGGCGCCACGAATTGGGATGGATGCTAATTGTTCGATTCTTTATTCACTTTTACCCCCTGATCCTCGTCTACTTTAATGGGAGCTGGACCCCTTCCTCACTATTTGTCTTACCATCTGGCGACAAACCTCCTAACGACCGCACGCAAACATGGCAAAGGAAACACCATCGGCAATTCAGACGGACTTGGTCATCGTGGGCGGCGGACCGACAGGGTTGCTGTCGGCTGTCCTCGCTCGGTCCCTTGGCCTATCTGTGTATATTCTCGGTACGATCATGCGAGCTGGTCGACGGCCACAGCTCTCCTGACGATACTAATCTACCCAGTGCAGACGCCAAAGAAGCCTCACTGGACCTGGGTCGAGCCGATGCCTTGAATGCCCGCACCCAGCAATATCTCGAGGTATCGAGAACGTTACCCTTACTCGAGCCGTTTGGGTTGACGTGTAACAGTACGAGACATCCCCTTATTTCCCTAGTTTCAACCTATTCTTGCTCTGACAACTCTCTCTCTTGGTATAGCGAGTTCCACCTTCGAAGCCGGTCGGTTCACCTCCCAGCAAAGCCACTGGTGGACCTCCCTAAAGCACACCCACCGCCCTAATTTCCTGATGATCGGACAATCTCGCGTCGAAGAAGCTCTTCTCCATCAGCTGGACATTCCGGTGGCATACCACACCCGCGCGACCTCGATTGCTGAGTTCGATGAAGGCGTGGTGGTCACCACTAATCAGGGCAGAACGATTGTATCCAAGTACGCCATCGCCGCCGACGGGGCGCGCTCGTTTGTGCGCCGCGCCCTAAACATCCCGTTCACCGGCACCAAGCCGGAGATGGTCTGGGCGGTTCTGGACACCTTCATTGAGACGGACTTTCCCGTCTGTCCGGAGATCATTACATTCCAGAAGGATGGGCAGTCGCGGGTGTCGTGGATTCCGAGGTACGCATGTTCATGCAAACGGGAGACGGCATGGGTGTCTGACCGAATGCAGAGAGCGAGGGATGAGCCGATTTTATATTCTACTCGATGGGGAGATTACGCAGGAGAAAGCTGAGGCTTCGATCCGGGAGCATATGGCGCCCCACAAGATCGAGTTCAAGCGCACGGAATGGTTCAGCACCTTCGAGAGTTTGTACTTCCCCAACCCCGTGCTCGGGAGAATTCCTCTGATGTCCTAGTGTGTGTAGTCAAGGAACGCGTTGCCAGCACCTTCATCTCCAAGGATGGACACGGTCGCATCCTGCTCGCCGGCGATGCTGCGCACGTCCACGCCGTCAACGGCGGGCAGGGCCTGAACACGGGCATTGCGGACGCCTTCAACCTGATCTGGCGCGTTGCATTTGCTGTCAAGGGCCTTGGGGGCTCGACGTTGCTAGCAAGCTACGACGAGGAGCGACGCGCCACTGCCACCGGGGTGATCGATGTCGCTGCCAAGCTGGTACGCATGACCGTCAAGACGGCCCTGGAGTATGTCGACATTATTGAGAAGAATGCTGCCTATATCACCGGTATATATTATTCCCAGAGTCAGCCCCTGATCACTTCGTGCTGACTCGACTCATTCAGGAATGGGTGTGTCGTATCTCCCTTCAACTCCCCTCGTCAAGACATCCTCCCACGCGGACTTTGTCGCTGGCAGTCGTTGTCCCGATCTCTGGGTTACGGATCTTCCGCCGACCAGACTCTTCGCGACTGAGGTGGAGAATCCTGAGGTGGCTAAGTGGGAACCGTCCATGACTCGGCTCTATGAGATCTTTCAATATGGCAAGTTCAAGGTCTTCTTCCTCGGGAAGGATGCTCCCACAACGTGGGAGCATCAAGCTGTCCGGCTGCAGCAAAAGGCCGAGTTCTGGAATGTCCATGCCTTATCGCAAAGAGTCACGAGTCTTGTGTATGAATATCAGGCGGAGTGGGTGGATGATGCTCACGAGGAGGTCGTGGTGGTGCGACCGGACTTGTATGTGGGATATGTGGGCAAGGACTGGGTGCAATATTTGGAGGAAGTATTTGCTTGATGGCGGTTACAGGAGGACAACAATATAACCTCGACGAGGAGTCACAACTCACAAATGTAACAATTCAGGGATGTACATACAATAAAGTACATGCTAAAGTCCGTAACCAGAAAAGCGATGCGCCCGCGCGTGGTCGAACTCGCAATCTATCGGAATGTGATGAGCTGATTCAAGAAGGGTGCCGCGAGGCACAAAGCAACTGTGCCGGGATGAAAGCCTGGAGAGGCTAGAATGTATACTTGGTGGGACAACTTGTACAAGAAAGGTATAAATATACAATTGGCGTGAAAGTATACGCATGATGATTATCTCAGTCCTAGACAATCACCCAAATAGAGAGATATACGCCGCATCGAGATCGTTCACCATCGACGCAATCCCCTCGTAGACCAGATCCCGCTTCATGGAGACAATCAGCGAATGGGCACCGTTGCGCAGCTCCTCAATCAACCGATGTGCATCCTGGATTTCGGTGCCCGCTTCGGGACAGTTCAACAGCGGGTAGCAGATGGAAAGCCGTCTCGACGACAGCGCGGCCCGGACCCGGTGCACCAGCATATACAACACGTAGGACGCCTGCATTGCGGCACATTTGAAGTACGGCAAGGACCCGTAGTACCCGTCTTGCGCGGGTGCCAGCGTGGTCATACTGGCATTGTCTAGGTCCGTAGACCGAGAAGTGGCCGAGTATGGAGAAGGTACATCCTTGAAGGCACGGGCAACGGCGAGTGATGATTTCAGACAGATCATGGAGGACTCGTCCTTGCTGAACGGGAAGAACGAGTCGATCTCGGTGGCTGTCACGGAGGAGAATTCCTGGGATGCGCTGCCGTCTATCCGCAGTGAGGAGAGATCGCAATGCTTTTCCAGGAAGATTGGGATGTCGGAGAAGGCTCTGAAACGGTGCAGCTTGATCCGCGCACTGTGCATTGGTTAGCGTGAGTAGAATTTCGGGTGAACGTTCTTTTAATGCTCAGAGGTCATACGAGTGAATGAGTGCGCAGGCAATCAAACCGAAGCTGCGGCCTGCAAGACCTTCCGTGCTGTTGCCTTGCATCGGTGTACAAATCAGATCACACTCCGAGGCCAATGACAAGATGGATTGGTCTAATCGGTCAATCTTATCTTTTAGATCCGGGGTTGGTGAGGATTGAGCACTCTGCATAGTGATCACGCGCAGAAGGGCGCTGACTGAGTCATGAGCATTATGAGCCTTTAGAATGAGTGACCACGGCTATAAGGGGTTAGCAGACAGGTCCCCTGCTATATGCTAACAGATAGCGTTACCTCCAGGCCGTTCATCCCCAGTTCGAAAGCTGGGTAGGGAGTCGTGACTCTAGGATCATTGGTGGTGATGATTGGGGACTAGCAGTGGGACATTAGCCCGGCGTTGGACATCACCGTAACTGATAATCAAACAAGTAACGTACTGAGGAATTAACAGCAGAAGACTGATATCCTAGAATAATCTGTAGAGCCGTGAGCGTTGCGCGTAGCCGTGAGAGATGGACGAAACGTACTGCGATCCACCATGCGCGTCGTTGGGCCTCTGATGCATTCTCTTCCAACCGATGCAGCGAACTGTCCATCGCAGTCGTGATGGCTTGGTTGATCCGCATCCGCATGCGATGGATATTCCCATTTTGACAAGAGTCATACACGCCAAGGACCACCAAGGTCAAGATCGGGTGGAGTGTAACGGGCAGATCGGGGTGGAAACGCTGGCTGTAAGTCGGAGGACGAGGGGAGATTCGAGCGGCGTCGGGCTCCACGATATCTTGCTCGGCGCTCTCAAGAGCAGACTGCGCGAAAAGACCGGAGTATGACCGGCGCAGCCACGCACAACAGGGATCGGAGGGATTTCCATCTTGCGGGGGCGGGATCAAGGCGAGGACTGCGGAGAGGGCCAAGCTCAAACAAGAGAGCGGTCGATAGGGTAGACAGGAGTGATCCACTGTCCCCGCCTCTCCGGGCGAGGGCTGGTAGACCTGGGGGTGGTCTGATCGTAGAGGCTCAGCGGGCGGAGGCAACAGCGGCAAGTAGGGATGAATGAAGATGTAATATGCGTTCAGTCTGAGCCCACATGCTTACAGGGTCAATAAAAACGGGGCAGCTTGGCGAGCTGGGGGTGGGTGGGGTGTACGCACATATCTGGTTCGGATGTATAGACCCGCAAGAGCGGCCCTTGAATCTCACAGGCAGTCCCTGCATGGAGCGCTTCCAGCCTGTCTTGGGAGCCTCTGTCTGCATCCTGAGCCCTCTTGTACGGAGAGAGAAGAGCCAAAGTATTCCAAATACCGGGATCGTCCACCAAGGAGCCCGAGTCTTCGGAGAGATCGACCCCCGTCGGGGGCTGCGGAGACGGCCCCGGAAGTAGGCGGCGGGCGCGTCGGCGAGGACCACCTCGTCTACTGGGCTGATATGAACAGATGCGACCTTTGACCAGGCACTAACGCAAGCAAAGAGTTATTCCCCGGTCCTGTTTACGAGACAATTCAGAGGAAAGTGGATCAGCCCTACCGGCCTGCAAGGGTTTTGTCCGTCGCAACGGGTTTTGGACGCACGGCTGACGATAGGTGTGAGCAAGTAGTGTACAGTACAGTCAGTCAGTTTATACCGCAAAAAAGACATACCAGGCCAGACAGGCTGCCTTAACAGGAGGGGTCCCTCGCATGAAGTGAGTTGTGTGATGGAATGATGGGGATGGATGATGAAGTGTTGGTATGTGGAGTGGGGGAAGGAAAGAGCAGCAGTCACCGAGGGTCGGCGATCACCGGGTTTGCCGGGGATTGCCGGGGATTGCGGAGAAAACCATTCGCCGAGCCTACACAGGCCCGACTGGGGTCATGTGACCACACCCAAGTTTTCTGACCAAGAATTCTCCCGGTAGGGTCACGGTCATGTGATGAATGGCCCTGGCATGGCAGCATGATACTTGCTTTCAAGTTATACTAATAATGTGTTTGACTCGATTTGAGTTACTTGGTCGATATCTTAGATTATCATTGAATGTAAGTGTGACAGAAGCATATAGAACCCCTTCACCATGGCTTTTTCACGACATCCCGGTAAATGAAGCTCCGAATGTAAGCCACCGCTTCGGGATCCCGGAGGAATAGGCAAATCAAGCATGGAGATAGAGGCTGGCCGCCGTCGTTCCAACGATGCATATGCCGATCCTCATCCTTGTATAGCACGTCCGAGATTTCCCCCATAGGGCCAATCCCGACCTCATCCCACAGACTCTCGATCTGCCTCGTCAGCTGCTTGATCTCATTGGTATAGGTCAGCTTCCCCCGGAGGCCCGGATGGTTTATCACTCCGGGGCTCACCGGGATATACCCTCGGATGCTATCAAAGATCTCCCGGGGCACCTTGGCCGCAAAGGCGGGGGCGCACAGGAACAAGCGAGTCAAGTCGAGCAGCGCCTGGACCTTCAGAAGAAGAAGATACGGGGTTACACGGTCGAAGATCATCCAATGACTGTCGCCAGCGATTGGCTCTATCACGCTGACCCCACGCGGGAATTTCAGTATTGGTAAGCTGGGGCTGACGATGCTTAACCGGTCAACATCCGGTTGACCGTTGGCCATGCCCCACCATTGAAGGAGGTCCCAACACTCCTGATCCATCCCTAAATCCAACATCACCGCCGCAGTCCAACGGATTTCCCCCCGGGTCCACTTGGGCCCTCTCATCAGCCCTAGCGAGTGAGCCAACGTCTCGGTTCGTGCCTCAAGGCTCCGGATAAAGACCAGCGCTCTTAGCAGATCTAGGCGTGCGGATCTGGCGTCCATCACTGCCCCTTGGAGTCCTTCTCCCTGTCCGTTTCTTGGGATGGGAAAGTCTTGGTCCACAAAAGGATCTTCTCCGCTGGGAACAAGCGCGCGGAGTTTGGCCTCGGCGGCCTTCACATCGGCGCGATGCATTGCGACTATGTCGCAAAACATCTCATGCTGTCGGCGGTGGCTGAATTGATGCTCCTCGCTGCAGTAGAACATGACCTTGCATCTATTACAGCAGATTTTGCTGTTGTCTCTGTGGCATTCGCCGCAGGACATGGGGGTGAGTATACAGCCTGACATCTTGTGACTTGGGGCTCAGGCCTATGAGATCGGTGAATCGACAGTGGAGGTATGGTAGTGGGAAGGTATATATATTTGGATGTAGTTGTGTATGTACATACGCAGGAATACTTGAAGTCCGAGCGGTAGAGACGCGACAAAGAGAACAATTCAAGAAGGACCACAGCCGGAGCACACCCTTGTGTCTTTGGAAACAAGCACTGAATGAGGACAAATTCTTTGTGTAGATGATGGGGAACCCAGACAAGATCGAAAGTCATTGTTCATGCATTGTCTCCATTGCAGCCGTGATAGTAACACAAGAAAGGAACCCTACACCTGCTTTCTGGCATCAAATCTAGTAGAGAATGTAGTAACACCACATTTCCTGTCACCCAGCTTATCGCCACATTGCATAATGAAAGTCGGCCGGAGCCAAGCACCTCTGGCGTTCGCCAAAGGCATAGACACCCAGCATCATTCCAGTAAATGCCGCCCCAACCCTTGGTGGCCTTGTCATGGTACCATTTCCCACGTCTCCCACCCACTGCAGCCTCGTCTGGTCTCCATCCGGAGCAGCCTCCCGGAACCCGAATCGGTACGATGGGCCACATTCGACAACAAAGATCACGTCCGACTGCGCATTCTGTAGAGGTATCTCTACAGCATCCCCCTGCGCAGGCTGGAACCGCACCATGCGACCCCCTGTGTCCGACCCCTGCACGCCCATGCTGCTGTACGTGAGGTAGTTCCACCACACCACCGTGCCGGCCTCGGTGTGCTTCTGCTTCGACTCGAAAGAGACCCGGGTCTCCCAGGTACAGACGCGATGGGTCTGTTTGCGCAAGAAGAGCGTCGGACACGTCGGGACAGACAGATTGTACGGCCCACCGTAGAGCCGGAGACAACCCTCTCGCGCGGTGAGCGAAAAGTCGCGCAAGACCGGCGTATTCTTTCGGTACCACCCTAGCTGCAACTGGGGCTGCGTGAAGTCATCGCGCCAGGCGACTGGGGGCTGCCACTGATACAGCTGAGGTCCCGCGTACTCCAGCGGAATCTTCTCGCCACCGTTGATGACCGGCCAGTCGTTCTCCCAATTCATCGGGACTAGGAAGGTTTCACGGCCTAATCACACACTTAATCACAGGGGCGCATCTTTCATACCCGAGGGGATTGACTCACCGAACACCGACTCCTCCCACACGCCATCCCGCCAGACCGGCCGTACCCCCAACAGCACCACCCACCACTGCCCCTCGGTATCCTCGACCAAGTCCGCATGCCCAGTATTCTGGACTTCATCGGAGAGTCCATTCCGCCACAGAGGATTGGTAGGCGCGACCTCCCAGGGACCGAGCGGACTGGTTTTACTGCGCGAAACCCATTCACAATGTCCACCCTCAGTGCCTCCCTCGGCCGTGAAGAGATAGTAGTACTCCCCGCGACGGAAGAGATGCGAGCCCTCAGCCACCCCCGACGCTGATTCCCGGATCAAGCGAGGCTCAGCCAAGGAGGCGCCCGTCTCCAGATCTACCGGCACGATGTGCACGGCGAAGTCTTTCAAATTGGCGCGGGGGGTGCGATCCAGTTTGCGGTAGGTCGATGACAGGTAAACGGTGCCATCGTCGTCCCAGAAGAGCTGTACAGCATGAGCCCCGACCGGAATTCAAGGAGACACAGACACTCACATCCTGATCGAAGCCGACTTGATCGAAGTAGACTGGATCCGACCACGAGTCAGAATCCCAGATGTTCGCGGTCTTCACGTAGAATCCCCGCGGCCAGACGCGGTCGTCTTCTTGGGGTCGATAGCGTTGAAAACAGGCAGCGAGACAATAAAAGAACCCCTCGTGGTAACGCAGTGTGGTGGCCCAGACACCGCCACCGGGCTCGGGGGTTTGGATCTGCAGCTGGCTCGGGCGTGTAAGTGCATGGCCGATCAGGGTCCACTGGATCAGGTCGGTGCTGTGGTAGATCGGAGCCCCAGGGACATATTCGAACGAAGAAGTGACCAGGAAATAGTCAGAGTTAACCCGCACGATGGAAGGATCGGGATTGAACCCGGGGATGATTGGGTTGGTATACATGACGCAGTGGTTTTGGTTTGGAGATGCCACCTTTGCATTGGTGTCAGAATGAGGGGGAATATCCAGTTTATGCGGAGAAGCTTCTGCATGATGATTGGTGGAGAAATGCTTCGAGCTTTGCTTGGCTTCTATGAGACATGACTTGGTTTACTTCTGAGTGATTATACAATTGACAACGGCCTTGAGATGCCATTCAACGACTGTGTAGTGAGGGTGGTAATCGCATAAACCTTCCTAAGCCCCATAGTCTCCCTTGTCCTCACGCCAGAACCTCCCCTGCCGAGTGAGTATTCTTGTGAATGTGGCCGTTGATTAGAATCGCGTGTAGACGATTCTTGTTCTGCAAAACACTGATATCGCGCAAAGGATCGCCATCTACCAGAATCACATCGGCGAAATAGCCTGGCTGCACTTTTCCAAGCTCGTCCGGATAGCCCATGAGCTCGCCTGCCATCGCGGTCGCAGCCAGAATGCTCTCCATCGGCGTGTACCCAAATAAATCCACCAAGTGCTTCAGATCGCGCGCATAGGTGCCATGGGGGGCCCAGGCAAACCCGTAATCACCACCAGGGAGGACGCGGATCCCCCTACGACGCATCTCGCGCATGGCTTGACAAGCGACCTCGACCTCGTACGTGATCCCCTTCTGCTCGGCCACTTTGGGCGACACTCCGTAAGGCTCTGCGTCACCCTGCACCATCGCGTACATGAGATTGATAGCCGGAGCCACCCAGACCGAGTCTTTGTGCTGCTCGAGAAGATCCATACCTTCCTCATCCGTGAAACTTGCATGATAAATGACATCGACCCCGGCCTGCACACATTGCTTGACCGAGGCAGCACTCCGAGCATGGGCGCAGACCCGTTTGCCATGAAGATGTGCCTCCTCCACTGCCGCAACCGTCTCCTCCAGATCGAAGTACGTTTCCTCACTGGGCATCGTGGGGTGTACGTTGTCCCCGGTCATACTCAATTTGATATTGTCGGCGCCCAGTTCGACGAATTCTCGAACCACCTTGCGCATCTCCTCCGGCCCATCCGCATAGCGCGAGATCTGAGGAACGATCGCTCCGTCGGGCTTGGTCAGCTCTGGACAGTTGGCTAAAGTGCGTGGGCCGGGGATTAATCCCGATTTGATCGCAGCTTTGATGGCAATGTCAAGTCGCGGTTGGGCCGCAGCAGCTCCGAAACACATGGTATAGCCGTGGTCAAGGTAGGTTCGGGCTGAGTTTGCGGTATGCAAGACATGTTCCTCGAGTGGAAGACTGGTGAGTTCATCCAGGGTAGCCGCATTGTTCCAGCTGAGGTGAGTATGCGAGTCCGCCAGTCCGGACATGAGTGTCTTGGTGCCACCACCGTCGATGACCAGTGCTCCTTGGGTGGCGGTGGGATCGACTTGGCCGACCGAGAGGATGCGCTCGCCTTCAATCAGTACATCACCACAATATGGCTCTGCGCCGGTTGAATCGAGAATGCGAACATTCCGAAACAGAATTTTGGGTGGGTCTTGGGGGCCGCGGTTGTTGATGGTAATGTCGGCCGGTGTTGGTTGGTATGGGCGTCGGTGAACATCTCCAAGGGAACCCATGGTGCCTTTCCTAGTAATTCCAGTGGATGCGAATCGTAGCCCATGGTGGTGGGAGGGAAAGCTTTTGTAACCATCGCGGAGCAGCCATGACGAAGGTCAGGCGGGGTTCGTGGCGGGGGTTGCATTTCCCCTCTCGGCCATGCAGGGATCATGACCATTCACACCCACCCCGATGGAAATCTCAATTTTCGGTCGGAGGGGATGTGTGCACGGTGCAGGGATGCTATTCCCTGGGCTGATGCAAGTGGCAGGACTGGAGGTCCAATGGACTGATTCAATGCCAGGGTTTTGTCAGATACCGTGAAGGGGAATAAGCTCCGTGTACGAGAAAAAGCAAATAACCGATTCGGCTGATTCGAGAGGTTTGTCATGGCTCCTCTCAATGTTGCATGAAGATCAAAACCCCGTTCGGTGGGCGTCTGCAGCTGTGAGGTGCAGAAACGTGCTGGAAAACCAGTGACTAGAGTGTCTCCACATCATCCAGATACCCTGTCACCCTCTCTACCAGGATTCTTCGGGGCTCAGCCTGGTCGGGGTCACTCAAAGCATGTGATGCGCCCGGGATGATTGTGCTGTTTCGGTGCCACGTCTCATCCCCGAGAATCGTCCGCCATCGCTGCAACAGCGCCACCTTATCGACCCACGGAGGAACCGACTGGTCCCGTCCAGAATACAGCACCATCAATTTGCCCTTTCCATGCAACACCCCTCGGGCTCGGATCATGCCAAAGGTGGTTTGTAGGTGCTCATCCGGAAGATCCGAGCTGAACAGGTCGTCTTCGTCTGGTCGCTGGGGGCTTTGAGGACTGAGCAGGCTCAAGAACCGACGACTGCTCAGGGGCGTATCAGCCGGGTAGTACATGCGCGTCGTAATGGCCAGTGGCACAATCGTGTCATAGATCGTGGACCCATCCCCGCCCCCAGTCTCATACGTCCGCTTTTGCGCTTCCTGAATCGTCTTCCGATACACTTCCTGAATTTCCTCCGGAGTATCGTACTCGGTCCCGAGCTTGCTTAGCCACAAAGCAGCCTCCCGGTCGGACACCGGCGCCTGCATGATCGCTCCATCCACCGATGGTCGCGTTGCCCCCACGTATTGTCCTTCGGGAATGTCTCGATCCAGGATTGGGTGGCGTGGGCGCGGGTTGGCGCAACTGATGTAATGCATGACGTCCTGACTTCCGGTGGAATGGCCCATGATGACCACCTTCCCGTGCCCATATAGGGATTTCTTGTGGTCGCGTATGTAGCCCACGCACTGAGCCATCTCGTCAATGTCCTGCGCAAGCGAGCTCATGCCCCAGCCGGCGTAGGAGGAGGAGAGCAGCGGTGTGACGACGGACCATTCGGTATCTTGGAGGGCGAGAATGAGATCGGAGAGGTAATCGACCGTGTGTAGGCCATCGGAGAGACCTCCGATAAAGATGAGCGTGTGAGGCTTGGGGCGAGAGCCGCGGATGTACTCGAAGGCGACCAGTCGGGGGGCCTGAGAGATGGTGTTTGGATGTTAGCACGGTGAGCGAGCGCCAGGGGGGGGGGGGGGGGGGGGCAGCAGATTGGTACAGTACGTATGGGTGCAGGATACCAGGGTGACCTCTGGGCGAGGCCAGAGCAGACTGAATATGCATTCTGAATGATCAATTCCAGGGACTGCGGTGATGGGAAGCAGGATTGCGTTCACGAAGAAGTGAGTGGTGGAGAGGAGTCAAAAAGGGAGGGGGGAAGGGAGCTCGGAGGAAGATGATGGCGGCGAAAATAATCTGATCCGCCCACCGTACCCCGGTGGGTTCTTATCAATCGGTCGGTCTACTTGTGCTGTACCGTCCCGTCCCGCCCGGCTGACACCTGACAATGCTGGCACCAACTCACTCCAGGTTGGAAGGAGGAATATTCGAAAGCTAAAACTAAGAACCAGGGATATGCTAGCTGTTATTCCAGCACTCTAGATGCAGATAAGTGATTTTCTGGGACAGTACAATTTTCAATGAGGTGCATATTGCTCGACAGGTGCACAATATATTGTCTTCGGTACGGACGGGGATGAACCCTGAGCACACCGTACAATACAACTCAACCACCTTTGTTTAACGGACTTGGAACAGAGCTTTATTCCTTCGACTGTAGAGTGCCTATTAGAGACTGCCGTAGCTATACCCCGAATTCAGGAGTAACATAGTGCTTGAATTGTTGGCCCTGGAGCTGTCCTGCTAACTAACTTACCCGGTCTCTGTCGCTCTCCGTAGATCTGCCGCGGCTGCCGGATGACTAAGCGATGAGTCATTGGTCGGCTGTTGATGCTTCCGCGTCGATGCCGCTCTCTTCTTCGCACTTCTTCCGCCCCGGACCCTCTTGGTGTTGATCATGATCATGATGAAATCTCACCCGTTTGAATGCGATTCTATTTTTTTTTTTTTTTTTTTTTTTTTTTTTTTTTTTTTTTTTTTCCTCTCTCCAACTTTCTGAGTCGAGGCTAACCAGTCACGCGAACGTTCTCATCTCATTTAGTCTTCTCTACAGGATGAGTTGATCATTCCAGGTTTCTACGGACTGCTGCGCACAGTTGACTGTTTCCTGAAACTACTTGAGCAAGGTACACGCGGTGACACAAGTTTCAGTGCAGACAATGCTCGTCACAGGGAGCTCTTCAGTGAAGACGACTGCACAAAACTCGACTGCACCGCGATCTCCTGAGCACGACCATCCACCTCCGAGACTGATTCGATGGACGAGGGCTTGCCCATGTAGTTGGGCCTCGCCGTAACATAATTCGTCAGGCCGATCTCGTCGTCATTGGCCGTCTTCTTCAGCTGCTCAAACCCGAAGTCAAACGTTGGTCCTTGCTGGCTGAATCGGTGGCCCTTTTGAACACCCTGCCTCGATCCACTTGGTAGCTTTCGTGGTCGTCCAGATGACTCGGTCGTCGATCGTCGGGAATGGAAACTGGACGCGAGGGTCCGATGAGCCAGCCGCGCCAGAGGTGCAAGATGAGGCATGCAAGCGCAGACGACAGCGACCGATGGCTCAATGCTGGACCAGATGAACACGGGTCCCATCAGCCAGGTTAGATCCGTCGAGCTCATGAAGATCGACAGGTATCGGATGCGAACGATGCTGGCAACACACACACTACCATGCACCGGCTTAGCTGGATCCATGGTGGATGTGCTTTAGGGGGCCGAGGGGGACGTACAAAATACCCACCGCCATGATTCCGCTGATGGCCAGTTTCTTCTGCACACTCATCTGCAGCTTGACGATCCGAGGAAAGGGGATGATTCAGATGATGAAGTCATTCAGCATGTTGAGGATGCCCGCGGCCAGGAAGAATCGGTCCACGTCGATGCATTTGCCGCTCGTCCCGCCGAACTGCGTCCAGAAGTATGTGACGGGCTTGCACGAATTGCTCATGGCCACCCAAACGATGATCGGGTAGGCAAGTGTCAGGAAAGCGCCGAACCACAGTGCAACTTTCAATATCGGCTTCAGGGGCGAGAAGACTCTCCAGTAGAAACAAAGAATGGAGAGTCTGGTACAGGTGCAGGAGGAGGCGTAGATGAAGGTATAGGAGAATAAAAGCTACTTCCTAATCCATCAGCACAGGAGAACCGCAGGTTGGGGGAAAGGGGAATTTTCGACTGACTCGGTAAAGGTGCATCAGTTCCTCCAGTGTGACGGACCAAATGTGCTTCCCAGCACCAGTCATACCTCCTACACGGCTCATGAGCAGGGTGGTCACATCCCAGATCCAATTTCAATACTCACCCGTGATGCTTAACCCAGTCGTGGCACCTATGCAGAGCAAGAAACATTGAGTCAGAGGAGGTGCTCAATTTCAGCTGCATAACACTCACCAGGGCAGCAATGATGGCCCAGTCGTCGGCCATGAGGGCATTTCCAAGGACCAGTTGCGCAGTGAAGCGGAGCATGACCGCCACCGCAGCCAAAACGAGCATGGCAACAACAGCCGCATTGTTCACGGCGACAGCGCTCGCAGTAAGGTCGACATTGGCCGGTGCTGGTCCAAAGAGCGCGCGGATCGCTGGATCCTCGGCCATAGCATTGCGTATGTGGTCACCAAGCCACGCATCAGTCCATGGATTCTCTTAAGTATCAAGAATGGATTCCACAAAGTCACAGGTGCCGATGCCTGTCCTCTGGCCACGGACCAAGCAAAGTGGTCGACACTCCAAAATCCGACCAACTCGCCTCAGGAGGCGCCAGTCATGGCCACCCTGTTGTCCCCGACACTATCAGATATTACTTGCCAGTCCACCCAAGGGCTAGCCACACTATGAATGGTCGACGGTTGTTGGAGGGATAACAGGTGGGTCAAGTGTCTTATTACCAAGGCTGTTTGTTGGGCGGGTGTTTGAACCGCGGAAAGCCTTAGTGTAGGATTCATGCTTAATTGCTGTCATTATAGTCGCCGACGCGGCCCGCCGGAAGGCGCTGCACGGCTGCTCCAGGAGCCCAGCTGACTCAACCCACAACTCCTGAGAGTCCCCCTGCTCTGCTTCAGGACAGAAACAGATCTCCTTCCAGTGGTCAGACGTGCCATTGTGCCATTGACATGGCCAATTGCCAAGATTGAGCTTCTATCAGATCCATTATCAACTGAAGTGGCAAGGTCAACGGTTCGCCATTGCGGGTGGGGCTGGCCATCAGCACTATCTTTTAGTGAAAGACGTACAACAGTAGACTACTCGAATCTTGTCCGGCATGGCGCTACTTCTGGACCGGCAGGGATTGAAACAGGAAACTCCTCTCCCTAATCCTTAGATAGCTGATATTGAATTGCCCCCTGGTAGATAGATGAGGAACTTGTGTGCCGGAGTGTGGCACAGTCCAAAATGCTGGCATCGGGCCACTGCGCCGAAAGGTTTAATAAACCGGCCATTGTCCCCTTACTGACCTTTTCATACCTGGCTTGCCTGGAGCTCCGCTGACAGAGCGAAGTGATAACCATGGGGTCAATCGGGGATCAACCAGTCCTGGGGCTCACAGCCTTGGAGCGTATCGGACCCAAGGGATATCTGCGCTACGTCTTCCCTTTCCAGCTGCAAGACGATTATGATTTGGATGAAGTGGCTGGAGCCCTAGAGGCCGGGTACCAGGCTCTCACACAACGGATCCCGGTGGTGGCGTGTGAGGCAGTTCCCGACCTCGAGACGAAGCAAAAGGGCGTAATGAGATTTCAGCCACGGGACACCCGCGACGCAACACAGATCCTCGTCAAAGACCTGCGTGACTCCTATGCCTCTGACTACGCCGGACTGAAACATCAGCATTTCCCCGTGGCTGCCTTCGATGCCGATACATTCTGCCGTCGATCGGTCTGGCCCTCAGCTGGAGAACGAATGACAGTTTCCCTTGTGCAGGCCAACTTCATCCGCGGGGGACTGGTACTCACATGGTGCATTTTACACATGGCAGGAGATGGTAAGTCATTCTCCACGTGGACGGCGATTTGGGCAGAAGAATGTCGTCGTGCACAGGGGCTGGAAATCGTGGCCCCAATTCAACTTCCCGACGCCGTCTGGAAAGACCGTGAGCAAGTGACCAAGCCCTCAGGTCGCAATGCGGGCGAACTGGAAAACCATCCTGAATATACCCTCCTTCCTCTCACGCCGCCCGGAGCACCACCCAAGATGACCTCCTTGAACCATCGTGGTCAGGTCTTTTACTTCTCCCCGGACTCTCTTGCAGCCTTGAAGGTCGAGGCATCGCCTGGCAAGGCTACCGAGCCCTCCGACCAGAAATGGATCTCCACCAACGACGCTCTCTCCGCACTTCTCTGGCGAACCGTGATGGCAGTCCAGTCACCCTTGGATACACTGGAGGGTGATCCTGTCTCTGTTTTCAATGTCGCTATCGATGGGCGCCAACGAACGGATCCCCCAATCCACCCGGACACTCTAGGATGCTTCCTGGAGTACGTTGCTGTTATTCTTCCCATTCGCAAGATGCTGAGTACCTTGAGCCTGGCCGATCTAGCCATTCAGATCCGAAAGGCCATCCTGCGGGCTGACAAGCAATTCACGGACGATGTCGTTGCTTTGGTGGACCGGCTCGAAGATGTCGATCGATTGGTCCCAACCGCCTTCCTGGATGTTCCTGGGTATAATTGTGTGCAGACCTCCTGGTTGAACTTCAAACTGTACGGGCTGGACTGGGGCTCTCTACTAGGCCATCGCATTGAGGCCGTTCGCGTGCCGCACATTGGATGCATCAATGGCGCTCAAGTTGTGCTTCCAGTACTGCCGGATGGCGGGATGGAGATCTTGGTGGGGGTGGAAGAGAGTTGCTTGGATCGACTGCTAACTGATCCTTTGTTTACCAAATATGGAGTAGCCCGGTAGTATAAGCACAGGGATCAATGCAGCGTCCGTTGGGATGTCGGGCCGCACTGCATGACTGCTCATTTCATGCTTCAATGTAGAACGAGCCTGCTTGATTGCAATCTCCTCGCAAATGGCTCGGTACGCTCGGCCTGCGGCTATGTGCCTGCTCATTAAGCACACTGTGCCGGTATAGCCCACAAATGATCACTCTTCGCTCGATATGATGTTTGGTTATGAGCAATCTTGAAACAGAGCCTGGGATGCCACATAACAAGCTGACGCCCCTAGTCGCCTCCATATGTGGAGTCACACCATGTGCACCCCACGGAGTTAATTAAACCCCGGGATGGGCCGGGTGGGCCAGCTCAGCATGTGAGGTCTCAGGAACCCCAGGCACCTAGATCATGCTCTCAATTCTCCGAGAATGAACCTTCTGTTCTGAATTCAGCTAGGCACATAGCAGCAGCCAAACCGCAGGACCTCTCTCCAGCATTTGACCAACCCCGAACGGCTATTTCGCAGCGACGTCCCTGTGCCTGAACCATGGGGCCAACCAAAGATGAGGCAGAAATCGAAGGAAGATCGGCTGGAGGCGATTTGATTGCCATCGTAGGCATGGCAATGCGACTGCCCGGCAAGGTGCGCAATGCGGAGGACTTCTGGAGGTTGCTGGTGGAGAAGAGAAGTGGTCTTTGTGAGGTGCCGCCAGATCGGTACAACAGTGATGCCTTTCATGATCCGGATGGGAAGCTGGAAACAATCCGTGCGAAACAGGGCTATTTCCTTCAGCAGGTCGACATTCGACAATTCGATAACACCGTCTTCACCACCTCCAAGAACTTCAGCGTCTGGACCCTGAGCAACGGCAACTCCTCGAAGTTGTATACGAATGTTTTGAGAACGCTGGAACTACCTCATGGCGTGGTAGTAAGGTCGGCTGCTATGTGGGTGTATTTGGTGAGGACTGGCTCGACCTCAATGCAAAGGAGACCCAACATATGGGGGGATATCGGTTTACAGGTTACGGAGACTTTGTGCTCAGTAATCGCGTCTCTTATGAATTCGATCTGCACGGGCCAAGGTTCGTTGCTCTCTGCTACGGAAGGAGAGGTGCTAACGCAGGGAATGACAGCATGACGGTGAAAACGGGATGCTCGTCCTCGTTGGTCTGCCCAGATCTGGCCTGTAAAGCAATCCGGGCTGGCGACTGTGAGAGTGCTTTAGTGTGCGGGACAAGCCTCATATTCTCTCTGACGATGACTTTGGCTTTGAGTGACCAGGGCCTACTATCTCCAACTGGGACATGCAAAGCCTTTGATGAAGCAGCCGACGGCTATGCTCGGGGGGAAGCCTTGAATGCCGTTTATATCAAGAAGGCTAGCCAGGCCATGCAAGATGGGGATCACATTCATGCTATCATTCGGGGAACCAGGGTCAACTGTGACGGTCGGACCCAAGGGATGACGATCCCAAGTACTACTGCCCAAGAGGCACTGATCCGTGAAACGTATCAGGCCTGTGGACTCTACGATGTTTCGCAAACGGCCCTGGTCGAATGCCACGGCACTGGTACTCCGGTTGGGGATCCACGTGAAGCTGCCGCGGTAGCCAATTGTTTCGGCGAGAAGGGGGTGATCATCATGTCGGTATGGACATTGGAGTCTTCTTGACGGATTGCCTCCCATCTGATCATTGGCATGCAGGTCAAGCCCAATGTCGGCCACTCGGAGGGCGCAGCGGGCTTGACGAGTCTCATCAAGGCCGTTCTCGCTCTCCAACACTGCCAAGTGCCCCCCAACATCAATTTTGACCACCCTAATCCAGACAGTGAGACCAGCGCATTCTATGCCTAGAGATCTGCATCACAGTCTAACCTCCATCCAGTTCCATTTGAACAAGCCAGATTGCATGTACCGACTGAACTCGAGCCGTGGCCCGCGAATCGTGCTGAAAGGATCAGTATAAATTCGTTTGGGATCGGAGGTGTGAATGCTCATGTAAGTGTTGTCGTCAAAAGGAGCCTATTCTCCCGGTTTCGCACTTGACTGACCCTCTCGAGGCTATTATTGATTCGCCTAAACAATGTGGAATTGAGCCTATGCGGTTCCCTGTGGGTGAAGGAAGACCACAGGAGAGCCAAGCGAGGCTCTTACTGTTCTCTGCCCAGTGTCGCGATGCTGTTGAACGGTCTGTCAACAACCACCAGGATTATCTCCAGGGGAGTAGAGCATCTAGCAAAGATGTGGCTTACACTCTGGCTAACCGCCGCATTCATCACACGTACCGGGCGTACATCGTGATGAATCCCGCACCACCACCATCCATTTCCAGCGTGGTTCGCATCGGGCCAGTGCCAAAGGTTGCATGGGTGTTCACTGGACAAGGAGCTCAGTGGCCTGAAATGGGGGCGAGCCTCATCAATTCCAATGCAACCTTCCGCCACACAATCAGGAGGTTAGACAGGTTTCTGGCCTCTCTGCCCTCCGCGCCACCATGGAACATCGAAGAGGAGATGCGGAAGCCCGAATATGTCAGTCGCGTCTACCAAGCGGAGATGGGCCATCCTTTGACGATCGCGGTTCTGCTTGGGCTAGTTGATGTATTGCAATCCTGGGGTGTCACCCCAGTGGTAGTGCTGGGTCACTCTTCCGGTGAAATGGCCGCTGCTTACGCTTCTGGTGCAATCACCGCTGAAGGCGCCATAGCAGCAGCGACCTTTCGCGGCATCAGCAACGAAAGATCCCCGCGCAAGGGTTTGATGGCCGCGATCGGGTTAGGGAGAGGAGAGATGTCTTCTCTGTTAGAAGCTGGGGTGGTCATTGCTTGTGAAAACAGCCAGTCAAGCGTTACTATCTCAGGCGACGCGCTTCAGGTCGAGAAGGTGGTCAGTCGAGTCCAATCGGAGCGACCAGATGTTCTGGCGCGTGGTGCGCGTCCAAAAGGCATTTCACTCTCGTGAGTTTCTCGATTCCAATGCTTGTAATTTTGACACATGCTACAACTGACTAGATCACATGCATGAGCTTGGACCGGAGTATGAACGACACATCCACCAGCTCATTCATAGCAACGATCCCAAGATTCCCTTTTATTCCGCGGTCACGGGGGACAAACTGACTGGAGCTGGCTGTCTGGGAGCGGCGTACTGGCGTCGGAACATGGAAAGCCCTGTCTTGTTCAATTCTTCCCTTCGGTCGCTTCTTCGAGACTACAGTGATCCTCTTCTGTTCATCGAGATTGGACCGCATCCTGCACTCAAAGGCCCATTAGGACATGTGGTCCGCGAGCTTGGTCGGTCAGACACACATCTCAGTACATTGGTTAGACAGCAGAGCTGTGAGCCCTGTCTTCTCGACCTTGCCGGAAGACTTTATCAGCAGAACGTTCCTCTGGACTACCATCAGATCTGTCCTTCTGGACAGCTTGTGACGGACCTCCCTCAATACTGTTGGCAGCCCGATTCTTCGCATTGGAATGAGCCACGCGTCGCCCGCGAATGGCGATTCCGTCAATTCCCCCCGCATGAGCTCCTGGGTGTTCGGGTAGCCGAGACTGGAAATGAGCCTTGCTGGAGAAATATTCTGGCTGTCGAGAATGTTCCATGGCTGGCAGGCCATGAAATGGAAGGACAGACGGTATTTCCTGCTGGTGGGTTCTTAGCAATGATTGGGGAAGCCTTGCGACAATTGGAAGGGGACCGGACTTACAGCCTTCGCCATGTCACCCTCGCCTCTGCAGCTGTCATGCATCTCGACCACGCAACCGAGTTTATCACCATCCTCAGCGCCCTCGATCCTCATCCCACCGAGAAGACGACATGGTACAGGTTTGGTGTCAATTCTTTCGACGGAACTACGTGGACTAGACACTGCTATGGGGAGGCTAGATGCGGCGTCAACGACTCAATCTCCATGGCCGTATCGGAGTCACCTCCTTGCTTTGCTCGCAAACTCAATGTAGATACCTGGTATGAAGTTCTCCGCCGTGTTGGATTTGGGTATAGCGGGATGTTCCAAGGCCTACAGAATATCTCTGCCGCTACTACCGAGAACCGAGCGGCCGGCGTCATTCCAGCTGAGCAGGGAGGAATCACAGATACCTACGCCCTGCATCCAGCCCGAATTGACCAGTGCTCTCAGATTTCTATCGTTGCAGCCCACCGCGGCATATTTCGGAGGTATCGTCAAGTTGGCGTTCCCACTTTCATTGAGGAGGTGGTCATTTCGCCAACTAGTAATAGCCTCAACATCACAGCCGAGGTGCGAGCTGTGGAGAGAGGCTCTTATGTTGCAGATATTGTAGCACAGAGAGCCGGACAGATTTTCCTGAGTTTAAAGGGCCTGAAAGTTTCAGCGTTGAGCAAACGAGATGAGTCGAAAATGGACTTCCCGTTGATCGCGCACTTCGAGTGGAGACCTCACGCTGATTTCACTGAGTTGCGAGATTACCTGCACTGCGCAGAGCAGTGCACAGAAGATTGGCATTTATTGGAAGAGCTGGTACTTGCGTGCATGATTCAGACTAGAAATCGAGCTTATCGGACGGATGATTCACCGGAACACCTACAGAAGCACCTTGCTTGGATAAAGACGCAGCTGGAAGTGTATCAGACCGGCTTGAATCGAATAGTCTCCCAGGACCTTCGACTCTGGGAGTTATGCGGTGAAGGTCTACAAGACAGGATCGAAGACATAATCCTCCAACTCAATGGTTCCCCATACGATGCGTTTAGCACTGCTGTGCATCGTATGTGCCAGGCGTCTGCAGCAATGTTTGCCGGTGCACAAGATGCGTTGCAGCTTCTATCAGAGGACAACCTACTCCATAGTCTCTATACACTCGCAGATGCTTGGGACTACAATGGTTTATTTCAACTCATTGGTCACACAAACCCACGGCTGAAGGTGCTGGAAGTTGGCGCTGGGACCGGCACCACAATGTTCAAGGCACTGAAAGCCTTAAGATCGTCTTCTGGAGAACGAATCTACAGCACGTACACTTATACTGATATCTTGCCTGGCTATGTCACAGCGGCCAAGGAGCGATTTGCCGAGTATGAGGGTTTAGAATACGTCGTGTTGGACCTACGTCAGGATCCGCTGCAGCAAGGCTTGGAGCCTGGAAGCTACGATTTGATTATAGCCAATAATGTGAGGCATTTCGTCTCTTTATCATGATCTTGGCTAATCAACAAGGTCGTGCATGCAACGCCGAGTTTGCAAAGGTCTTTGAAAAACGTCCGTATGCTGCTTAAGCAGGAAGGCCGACTGTTACTGCAGGAATTGTGCCCAGGTCAGTGGTTGCCCTATCACAGCTGTACCTATTCCTGTACTGATGTTTGCATCCAAAGAGACGAATTTGATAAGCTATGTCATGGTAAGTCCGTGATGCGGAATCGATGCGCTCCCCTTCCGCGACCCCCGATTAATTGAGATGCAAGGGCTTTCTACCGGAATGGTGGATCGGTCAAGAGGATGATCGCCTTGAGCAGCCGTATGTGTCCCCGAAAAGATGGTCGAGAGAGCTTGTGGAAGCAGGATTTCAAACACCACACGCTTCTATGCTGGACAACATCCCTCCGTATCAACTCAGCGCCTGTATGATTGCATCGGTAGCAAATGCCCGTGCTGAGCCTCACGAAGTATCCCTGCTATGTCATGACCCTATGGCACCGTGGGCCCAACGAGTATTGCATAGCCTCCAACGTCGAGGCATCCGCGTCGAACCTCTCGGGCCGGGAAATCTACCTCTGCCTGATCAGGATGTCATCTCGCTGATTGACCTGGATGACCCAGTGATTCATGCTATGCCAGAAGCGAAATTCAGATCCACGATGTCAATGTTGCAGACACTAAAGAGCAATTTGATATGGGTAACGCGGTCAGCACAGGTGGGCTGTTCAGATCCCAGGGCTGCCATGACGCTAGGACTGGCTCGAACTGCACGGAACGAACTCGCAGTCAAGTTATATACTGTCGAAATTGATCACAACCGTCCCTCGCAAACCACAGCTGACTGCATCACGAAGATATTCTGTTGGGTAGCCACGAGGAACACTTCAGAGGCGATGAGCTCAGACTGGGAATATGCCATCATCGAGAACGAGATTGTTATTCCAAGGATGCATTGGCAGACAGTTGCACAATCTTTCGAACAGTATAGCTCGCCTGATCGATCGTCGATCAAACATCTTGCCATTGAGAGTCCTGGTCTCCTGCGAACTATGAAATGGGTCGATGGCCGGGATGCGCATGTGGAGGGATGCGATGTTCTGGTTCGGACCCAAGCTGTCGGCCTGAACTTCCGCGTATGCTTCATTCCGCTCTTCAGTTGTTTGATGCGAGCTTATAATTTGATAGGATGTGCTCATTGCATCCGGTGTCCTCAACGAAAGCACCACGTTGCTTGGTTTAGAAGGAGCCGGAATAGTTCATGCTGTCGGCCCCGATGTCCGGCATGTGTCGGTCGGGGACCACGTTATATACATGGGTACTGGATGCTTTACCACCTATATGACACTGAATGAATCCTGTTGTGTACAGGTAACGAAATCCATGTCCTTCGAGCAAGCCGCTGCATTGCCATGTGTCTATGCAACCTCGGCGATGGCATTGATTGAAAAGGCAAATTTGCAACGGGGACAGGTGAGTCTACAATTCTAGGGGTCAAGCGTCTGATAGTGACTGATGGGCGCTCTCCCGGGCTGTCCTCATTCACTCGGCGTGTGGTGGAGTTGGCCTAGCTGCTATCCAGGTTGCCCGGATGATAGGCGCCGAGGTGAGTTTCGTCACTGACGAGGAAGCCAGGACTGATATGTTCTTCCTAGATCTACTGCACGGTGGGAGCCGAGACAAAGGTCGAATATTTGGTTCGGAATTGCAATATACCGCGGTCCCATATCTTCAATTCACGTAATTCATCTTTTGTTAAAGATGTTATGGACGCCACCAACGGTCGGGGAGTGGACGTTGTTCTCAACTCGTTGGCCGGCGACCTTCTCCACGCCTCGTGGACATGTGTGGCCGAGTTTGGAGTCATGGTCGAGATCGGCATTCGTGATTTTCGTCGCAAGGCTAAGCTGGCGATGGAACTTTTCGAAGCAAATCGAACCTTCGTTGGACTTGAACTGAGGGAGATAACGCGCGTCCGTCCCTGGATAGTGACCGAGTCAGTATCCCTGCTTGCTCTGGAGTCAATACTTCAATATAATTGACGGACGACCAGCATTCTAAGACGTTATGTCAACTGGATCGAGGCTGGAGTGATCACGCCCGACCCGATCTCAAACATCTTTCCGGCAGCAAACATCCACGAGGCCTTCCGCTTGATGCAGTCCGGTCTCACATCGGCAAGATTGTGATACAGATGCCAGACGATCCCAGGGTTCTGGTGACTATGACAGTCAACCCCAGTCCAATCTTCCAGCAAGAGCGGAGTTATCTGCTTGTTGGCGGACTTGGTGGCCTGGGACGGGCTGTGGCTTCGTGGATGGTTGAACATGGTGCCTGCAACCTGGTCTTTCTGTCACGAACTGCCCTACACGCAGTTGAAAGTGATGCCTTTGTTGAGGACCTGGAATCTCAGGGATGCCGGGTCCAATTGGTGGCTGGCAGCGTCTGTGAACTCGGTGATGTGAAGAAGTGTGTTGCGCAGGCCACCGCCCCAATTGCTGGCGTCTTGAACATGTCCATGGTGTTGAGGGTGCGTGTTCTTGTTCTTCCCCCTGCTGACTCCGTTTTGGTGCTGATCGTTCATGTACGCAGGACGTCTCTCTGGGGAAGATGACATATTCTGACTGGGTAACCGTTGTGGAGCCCAAGGTGCAAGGCACTTGGAACCTCCATAATGGCCTTCCGTCTAATCTGGACTTTTTCATCCTCATTCCATCCTGCAGTGGCCTCTGTGGGCAGTGGGGTCAGGCAAACTATGCTGCTGCCAACACGTTCCTGGACGCATTTGTGCAGTATCGTCATCATCAGGGTCTTCCAGCCTCTGTCATTGACCTTGGTGTGATGGGCGACGTCGGTTTCGTGGCTCGCAACCAGAACGTACTGCGTCAATTCCAGGATACTGGAGCCTTTGTACTCAATGAGGATATGTTTATGCAGGCGATGGCATTGGCCGTGCAGCGATCACATCCCGTTGCAAATAAACTCCCTACGCAGACATATAGCAATCCGAGCCAGATTGTACTGGGCCTCAACACGGCCGTTCCTGCCTCCTCTCCGGCCAACCGGGTCGCATGGAAGAACGATATTCGTTTCGGCATCTATCGCAATCTTGACGGGGGTGGCGAAACCTCTACAACGGCTTCATCGAAGCCCAACAGTCTACGAGAATTCCTCGCTTCCGCCGCCACACAGCCAATACTCCTTGAAGAGGAGGCAGCGGTGATGAAGATCACTGAGGCTATTGCAGTGGCTTTGGCTGATTTCCTCATGAGAGATCAAGGCAGCATTGTCCCCACAGACTCATTCTCGAGCCTTGGGATTGACTCCCTGGTGGTTATGGAGATCCGCAACTGGGTTCGGCAACATCTTGACGTGGATAGAAGTGTTCTGACGATCCTTCGCTGCCCTTCGTTGTTCAAGCTGGCCGAGAGAGTATTCGTGACGAGCTGCTTGGTCGGTTGAGTGGGTGAGCGCTCATGGCAATTTGTTACTATTGTGCTGGCTTCTCTTTCAGGTGTCTAAATTGATTGATGACTTCCGGCATCTCTCTTTGTTAATCTCAATCTCCAACCACTTGCTTAGAGTAACTGCATGAATTGGTTGTGTCTGGCGCTCTTTATCTCGAACACAAGCCTTTGTGAACAAGCACAGTGTTCATACCCTCGTTTGTATTCTGTAAGCTCCCTTGAAGAACACGTTCTGCTACCGCACTGTTCTTGATGCTGTGACATCAATACTATAAATACTCGACTTGCCCTCGTCGGAGATCCACTCAAACGGTCCGCATCACTGCACTCTCGCGACCCGTTCGCTTTGGTGTCAACTAAGCTCGCAACTTCGTACCCTATCGCCAAGCACAAACAAATCAATGTCTCGGGAACTGCCCAGTGGCAAATGGAAATGGTACTTCGCCGACCATGCCTTTCTGCCGAAGGACCACGTCAAGTTCCGCCAGGACATCACCCGGTGGCTTCTTGCCCGCCAGGGCAAGCCCGATATCGGCGCCGATGGCCAACCGACGGAACTGACCGAGGTTCAACAGCGACTAATCCGCGACGCTCTGACGCGTCGCCACCGATTCCTCTGGGTGCAGGCCGAGTCCGCCCGGATCTATCCGGATGAGGAGAAGGCTGAGGCCCTCGCCACGGGGGCACCCCTCCGGACTCCCCCTCAGGCCAATGCTGTTCTCGAGGCCGCCCTGCAACCCCCTGGCGAGGAGATCCTTGATCCTCTCACCAGCAAGTTTGAGTGTCCATGTTGCTTCCGCACGCTCCCGCCTCGATACCGGGAGCCGGAAGCGTGGTGGAAGCACGTCGAAAGCGACGTTGGTAGTGGGACTTGTCTGCTGGACCACTGCTTGATGAAGCCGCGGCCGTTTGCCGTGGACCAGTTCTACGAGCATGTTCGAGTGTATCATGACCCGGAGAAATCGTATACGCTTCGTGACATTGACTCTCCGCGGCGGTTCCCCCTCGATCCCTTTCCGGACCACTGTCCCATCTGTAACTATGCTGATGAGGATAGGGAGCGGGTCGTGAGTCACATCTGCAAGGAGCTCCGATTCTTTGCGTTGATGGCGCTGCCCTGGGCGACCGAACGGATGTTGATCGTAGAGCACGAGTGGCAGGAGGAGGTCGATCGCTTGTGGCCTCCTCACTGCAATGTGCTACCCTGTGGCGTTTGGTCCAACGACAAGGCCTGGGCCAAGCGGGCGGCGAAGAAGCAGACTCCCCAAGACATTCATGATCTTAGTTTGGAAGATCCATGAGATTTCCCAGCTCGTCGATAATGATGATTGTGCGGTCTGATAAATACGGTTTGCGCCGACTACCCCATTTCCGTACGATCTCACCTGGTTTACTTATTTAGTTACTATATCGATCAATAGATTCACAGTCTCATTGCATCTAATCGAACAATATCTTGGCATTTCAGACATTCACTCACAGATTGGACATTCCACCTGACCTAGGCCCGATGTATCAAGAGACGTCCATCGTTGCCAATTCCTGTTTTTGTAGTTCAAAGCTTGAAAACAACCTTGACTTCCAGGTTCATCCCGACAAACAAAGTCTGGGTCGACAAGGCATGAACCACGTTGGCAAAGCCTGACTTCCTTTGGTCGAGAGTGGTGCGTTCGGTCGCGGACAGCTATTCAGAGCCCGAAATCAGCAAAACGACCATCGATCAAGGGCACTGACAAGACCTGACGCACTAGAAATGGGAAGACAAGACTTCCACCAATAGTCTCGGATTGACCGGAAACAGGGGTAAATCTTAAATCCAGCTCAGCAATGGCAGGCAATCGGTGGTAGGTTTGTTGGATTTCCGTGAGAGCGGCCAGGTAGAAGCTCGCCAGCGGTTCGATGGCCACGGGCGCAAGGCCGAACTGTTTGTAGCGTCGTTATTAGTCCAAGACTCTGTCTGTGCCTCTAGCAGGATGGTGGGGTAGAACTTACGGTCGCAGTCTTGGTGACTTCCATGTTGAAGCACTTGCAGATTTAAGTGACTCGAGTATGATGAGGACTAGCTGCGCAACTCGAGTTGACTGCTGTAGAGAAGGAGGTAAAAATGGGACGGCATGCAGAGAAAAAGGCGGAGAGCGAGTGTGTGGGAGAGAGAAAGAGAGAGAGACCGTGTAAGAGAGACCGTGTAAGGATAAGGAAGGATCACCAGAGAAGAGGCCGAAGAAGCTGGGCCAGGGTGAATAGAGTGTTACGGTTACTGTTAGTGCTGATCCCCAGTTCCCACGGTTTCAGTCCAATTTGGAGTCTGCTTGCCAAATTAGGCTAGGCGGTCCCCCGTCCACGAGCAAGTGAATGCTGATGTTGAATCATCGTTAGCTTGAATCACTCTTTTCTTGCTTATAGACAGGTGACTATTTTCTCAATCCCCTCAAAGTTTGACCTCGCGGCACTGCTTCTCAGCAATATTCTCTTCCTCCAGCTTGGCGACTGTTGCTGCGAATGCAGCCTCTGCATCATGCTCCGACAGCCAAACCGTACTGGCCCGATTCCGCAGACGGCGTGAGAGCTGCTGTTCCTCATCGTCCCCAACCTGCGACTGGCCCTGGCCCTCAGAGGCTTGTCGGTGGACAATGCGAAGTAATTGCTCCGTATGAGGTTGCCTCGACCTGCTATACAGTTCCAGTGCCAGTTGAAAACTGCTTTCCAGGAGAGATTGCTCTGCATCCAGCCCTTTAAGAGCATGCCCAAAAGCGAGTCCGAGAGTCAGAGCATCGTCCAAAGCCAAGGAGCCGCCAGCTGCGAAAGCCCCCCCATGGGCATGGGCAGCGTCACCAATCAGGGTGACTCGAGGGGCTAGAACCAAGGTCGCAAGAGAGTCTCCGATAAAGTTCGGGTAGAGTTTGGTATAGGGAGTGAGCTCCGTCAGAGCTCTGACGACAGGATTCCAGTCCTGGAGAGTTATATGAATCACAGACATCGCGCGAACGAGCCATGAGAATGGATTGACATACCTTGTATCTTTCACGGAGAAACTCCACGCCGCCCTCCTCGTCCCATGAAACGGTCTTCTCGACCTCTTCCGTGGTGCGTGGATCGCTGTACGCGCCGATCGTTGTGTATTGTTGTTTGCCTAAAAAGGATGAGGGTAGGACAGGTGGCTCCGCTTGTTTCGCGCCAACTCCACCTACCCAGACGAGATGCGAAGAAGTTGTCCTTTGGTCCCCACTATCTTTGAGTTAGCCTTGCGCGATGTCCCTTGAGACCAAAGCGGAGTACAAACCCAGTGAATCGAATCTGCGGGAAGATCAGAGACTTTCCCCTCTACCAGTGATGCATCAAATGTGGATCGCATAAACACCTTCCCGCTGAACCGTAGCTTATACTTGGGGATAAATGATTGTCGGACAATCTGCATGCGACCGTCCTGTCAGATCGTGACCGGAAGATAACGACCCAATTTCTAGTGAAACGCACCGATCTAAGCCCATCAGCTCCGATCAGGATGTCCCCGCGGGCGCTAGTACCATCGTCGAAGTATAGTGAGACACTCTGGTGGTCCACTTCGGCGCGGACAGTCTTTTCACCCAAGTGGATGGACTCTCGCGGAACATGCTCGAGAAGTGCGCTATGAAGATGGCCTCGATGGAAGCGAGTGGTGGCGTGACGAGGATCGGGCACATCGTTGTGTGTATCGACCGAATGGACTTGGTTCGTCTTCCAGTGCCTGCCAACGATTGACTTTGCGTCAGAATCAGAATTGTTATTGGCATTGATACCTCCCATTCTCACACGAACCTACCGGAAAACCTGCGGAATGCCGCTCGACGATCTGAATCCTACTCCATCTGCGAGAGCATTGTGTACCCCCAACCTTTCCAACGTGCGCATGCCCTAGAGGAACAATGGAAGGTTAGCCCAGGTGGCACTTGATTCGCATCCTTTCGGATAGGAAGCTTCATACATTGGGACTGAGCGCAATGCTAGCTCCAATCTCCTTCAGTTCATCCGCCTGCTCATACAATGCCACTTTGAGGTTCGGGATGGAGGCTTGACGAGTGAGAGAGATTGCAGCCGCCAGGCCGGCGATGCCGGCGCCTGCGATCAGCACTCGAACATCGTTTGTGTTCCCGAGCCATTGCGGACGAACACAGTGAAGCCGCCTTGTCAGCAAAATGTTGCAGATGAAACTTGTTCAATCGGGAGATGGAGTGTCCAGGAGCGAGAGGAATTTATTCCTCTGAGTGTCAAGCACGTCAAACCCTGCAGGTGTGACGCGACTACCGCCATGGACCATGGACATTTCGCTCATCCGGGTCGGTCGCATCGAGGTCACGGAGGTGTGTTGCAACAATTCATTCAGCAAGGTAGAGAGTATCGGCATGGGCATGCGAGTGCCACGAGGGAGATGGGCTCGCGACACTCTTCGCGTACTTGTCATTGCAATGGCAGAGAAGAGTATATTGCCTCAGGCATCAGCGAGCTGGGCGGTGGTAGTGGCAGCCACATGACCAGCGCTTCCCGTTCAGCCGCCTTCAGGCAGCGTCAGGCATAGTCAGACACCAAAGATGGTGATCCTGCATGTCGCATGTCGCCTGAAGGGGTAAAAGGCCCCAAGGGTGTAATCCATACGGGTGTATTATTTCTAGTGGTGCCCAGTGAGTACCGATTACTCCTGAGAGCGGATCCATGCGGGACGTTGGGTTCATCAAATCTCTGCAGATCGGCGGCACCGACCTTACTTTAGACTATCTTCACCTGTGAAGCAGTGTGATGACGGTGATGCATATATTCTGTCCTGTACCGTACCTTTCTCCGCAACCCTCCAGCCACGAGGGTGGAAACACGAAAAAGCCGTTGAAGCGAAGAGGCCCTACCATGGTTCTGTCCTCTCCGGTTGAGCATCGGCCGAACGGGCCCATTCGGCCATGGCATGGCGATGTGGCCCATGTCGACCCTGCCTTTGCGGGCGAAGCAAGACCAGAACCATCTTCGAGTTACTCACATACTCGTAGGTACTCTCCTATGTATTTCCGTGTAGGGTGTGTATGGTGACCGTCCGGGGCGATTATGTTTTCCATTTCCCGTGCACCTTGAAACGGGGTGTAATTCAGAAGTAAGACCACCCATCCCCGGCGGTCGCAAGTGATCCGGAATGGTCACAGATTACCAAACCGTCACCAGAGATCAATACGCAGACCCATTGGATCGAGAGGGATCGGTGGACGGTGGATGATGGTGGATGGATCGCTCTCCTCCGACCGATCATTTCGGCTACTTCACCCTCGACTTATTGCCACTGGATGACGTGGCCAACAGGCACCTGGGGACCGGGGAAAGGGCCTTAGCCATTTTGGATCGATTGAATGACTGAATGATTTGCAGAGTTGAATGAAACTTGCGAGGAACCCAAGCCCTAGCCCCACTCAAACACCCTCCTTACTGATTGCTTGCCCTTACCCTACCTTTTCCCGTACAGTACTTGAGTAGTAGTACTTCTTAAACCTGGTTACCACTACTGCCGTCTCCCGTAGTGTATGGAGTCCCATTGTGTACTGCAGTACCCAGTAACTACGCAGTACCTACCTACCAGTTCTACTGTCCACCATCATTACGGGTCCTGTCAATTCGCCTTTCTTTTATAAATATAGACCATGGCTATTCACAATTCGCATGACGGCATCGTCCACGACTTCTATTGATTGACTCTCCCCAGAATTATTCTGTTTTCTGCCATTCTGCAGACAGACTCTCCACCATGGATGACCCCCATGACCCCCAGCCGGTAGTGACCGTCCAGCAGGCCAAACGCAAGCAACGGCCAGTCTATTCATGTTTACCTTGCCACCAGCGAAAAGTGAAGGTGAACCTCCTAACCAATACCTCAACCAATCATACAATTTGTTTCTTTCCAAATGTCCCTCTCTCGATAACACGAACATGGGCTTATCAGGACCCGTGCCGCATAGTGCAACCGGGTATTACCGTGTAAATCATGCTGTTTGCGTGGTCTCCCCGAAGAGTGCACATTCCCTCGATCCGCCGAGGAGCAGAACTATATCAGTCAATCCGAGTACATCACCCAGCTGGAAGAGCGATGTCGGACCTTGGAACGACGATTAGCCCACCTCGAAGCGGTGCGACAACTGGTTATGCACAGTGCCAACGAAACTCCCCGCGAGCAGTCCCAGGGTCTGACCGGGCCAGGTCTGCTAGGGGACAATGAAAAGGGAAAAGGTAGGTGTCGACCGATCACTACCGACCTGAAGGAGGGAGGCAGGGATGTCTCGAAGCCGAGCCAGTTGGAACCATTGAACTCACGGTGTCTTAGACTCGACCCTCGGACCGGATGAGGACAATCTCGAGGACAAAGACGAGGACAAAGACGAGGAGGAGGAGGGGGACAACGAAGCCAATGATGAAGATGCCGACGGAGTCAAGATTCCCCTGGAGTGTTCCCCGGGTGCAGCTGTTTTGGACATCTTCATCGAACGCCTGATCGAAGACTGTTGCCCACTCAGCAAGCGCGAGACTGGGCTCAAACGATTTATCCTGAGCGATGCATCCCAGATGAGAAGTCGATCGGAACTGCTGCAGGTCGCCTTTGAAAACACTGCGTTGATGTTCATCGGTCGCACCTGGGGAGACCGAGATATTGAGATGGCGGGCCATCGGCATAACATGTACGCAATCCGCATGATGCGTCGGGCTCTTCGACGGTGTAGTGGTCGAACTGTGCCCTTGGACGTGTTTGTCGCCGCCTTCATTTTCATTATACGCGAGGTGTTCACCGGCGATAGTGGCGCATTGATGAAGCACTTGCTGGGGGCCGCGCAGCTGCTACAGTCGCGCAAACCCGAGGAACACCAAACCGGCATTGCCCACGCCATCTTTCTGGACCATCGCATTTACTGGGTAGGAGAACGAATCACTTTCTTCCTCCAACAACAGATTCTGACTGAGTCGCAATACACACAGATCGCGGGCTCAATCCTTCTTCGGCGCCCATTATTTCTGGTTCATCCGGATTGGATGAACATCCCCTGGGCTCACAAGCCGAAAGATCTTCTTCACCAGCTGTTAGATATCGGGGCAGAGGTGCCCTGCTACCTTTCCCAGACGGAGAAATACCAAGCGGAACTGGCATCCGGACGGCTCAAGTACGAGGAACTGTTGAACGGGCATGGCTCCCCAAGTGGCTGGGCACAAATTCTCGACAGTCGCCTGGAGAGCTGGTACCACCACCACATCGCCACCTATCCCCACGGATCCATCGTCGAGTCCGATCACAAATTGGATGCTTCCTTTCCCAATTTCGCCTGCCACCACCCGAACGACGGACATATTTTCACTCCCCGGCTCTTGACCTACCCCGATCTCTTGCTTACCACGGTGATGTGCTACTACTGGGCTCTACGCATCACTATCGCGGGTGCCAATCCAACTCCACCCTCACGCAATGAGCAGTATCAGTGGGCCTGCAACATCTGCCGGAGCTTGGAGGCGTACATCACCAAGGGTCCCCGCTGTTTCATTTATCGCATTCTATACCCCATTATTGTAGCATACCAGACATTCGAGCGGGGCTCTGTCGAGCGCGGCTTCGTCGACAAACTCTGTCGTCGCTTGGACGAATTATACCAGGTTAATGTCTTTCTCAACCTTATGGCCCAGATCGGCAACGCGATGGAGCTGCCGGGGACCTGATCCTTCTCGTTTTCTCTCCTTCTTTCTCTCTACTTCGGTCCTCTTTAGTTGACCCCACAATTTCGGAGCATTTTAGCGATGACGATGAAAGAAGAAATGACATGATACCTGATCGATGCGCGATTGCCTTTTGTATTTTCTTTTTCTTGAATTGTATGTTTTCCTTTTGTTTTCTCTTTTTTTTCGCTTTTCATTTGCCCCGGTCCTTCCCCCTGTTGAGCACGAAGTGTGGAGCATTCGTGCTAGAGGGGGATTGGCCGCGGGATTCTGGATATGCGAGTATTTGTCATGGCATGGTTCAGAGCGACCTAGATCGGCCTCTGGGATTGTGATGCGCCACAGTCACTCTGAGCATTTAGTGAAAATCATAATCAAAGACAATAGAGATAAATGAGCAGAAGAGTTGTAAGCATCTACCAAGATCAGTTGTTCATCTTCACTGGCAGTGAACATACTATCGTAGGATTGGCGAGACACGATCGGAAGCGATCGATTGTCCTGTACATCATGGATAGTGCGACATGGGCCTGCAGAGACTCAGTCCAACTTGCTAATATGACTTTGTGGGCCGACCACTCCGTCCAATCCTAGGAGTTCCGTGGAATGGGCATAACCAAAGCCTATCCAGTCCAATCCCTCACCTCCTAACGCTAGTTTCACTCGCATAAGACACACTAGTGGTCCGGCACTGCCACCTTGGCTTCATTCGCTGCAATGGCCCAAGCGGTATCGGCTACTCCCTTCAGTGCCCACCTCAGGGCTGGGGACAATTTGCTGGGACAGGTTAGACTGACAGATGAACAATTGAACAAAGCGGCTTACGGGAGTAGTTCAAATTGACTCCATTACCGAAAGAAGAGGGCAAACGGCCTGGTTGCGGGCTCCCTGGGCCCTCAATGGACAACGAAATATGGAGAAGTTTTAATGTTCGATGTACAAAGGGAGAGACAGCTACACAAACCCACCCCGAGTGGAGAAATGGACTCCCTTAACGGCTTCCCGGTGGTATTTTATATTGTATCAAGTGCCTTTCACCAGCTGTACCTCATTTCCACCCACCGCAAGTGCTGACCACCAAGGTACAGAATATGTGAAATGATGATGAGCCTCAAGGAGCAACGCCGTCTGTCCTTAGAAGCCTTTGATACTCCTAACCCTGCCGGGCAATACGCGAAAGCAGTGGACTTGAACATTGTTCACCAACAAGATCTGCCCAAGCCAGGGGGATGGATCGATCGGCAATGGAGATCACCTGGAGCTCCGAACATCAAGCGGACACTTTCACGGGGAGACAGTTGCTGTCTTTCTAGTGTATTTGTGCGATTACAGCCTAAGGGGAAATTTCCCTTCCCTTTGACCAGCTGGCTAAGCCGGGGCCGCTTGTGCAGTGGACTTGCTCCTCTTCCTAAGCGAGGCCAATAGGTTGGCGCACGAAGATTCCTGCGACCACAATCACTTTCTCAACCTTGAAGGCTCTAGCCTCCTCCGTCATGAGCAGTCCGGATGCTTACTAAATACTCGCAAGTAACTATTCGCAAATGTTCTTCCGGACTGGTACCGCCACTAAACCCTGCGCCCGCGCTCTTTGTACAGCAAGACTAGCCACTAGTAGCTTCGCCCACAGATGGGCATTTGCACGCCCCAGCATAATCATTGGGGCCTGCAGTCACCTCCTCCTGGAACCCCCGTCCTAATAACCGGCAACTCTGTGGTGAATGGCCAAGTTGCATGCAGGGTTAGGAACTGCGGTCAGAATCTAGTTGGTGTCAATCGCAGTCATCTTCTTGCTCCTCCCCGGCGGATCAGAGTATATATTGAAGCGGCATTCTCCAGAGACAGAATGTTCATGGTGGTCTCGAATAAGCAAAATATGGTTACTGACCTGGTTGGTTTGGTAGACTGGTGGTAGACCCTGTGCCTGACGCATTCTCAGCAAATGGACGAATAAGTTCGGGCAAGGACTGCGAGTCGGGATTCAGGCGCTGCAGGCGATTTAGCGTGGGTGTAGGGCAGGTGGGGATGCAAAGGTTTATCGCCGAACATAACCTTCTGGCTGGAGAATTACGCAGTACTGTATTTTATTTTGAACAAAAAAAAAAAAAAAGAAAAAAACAAAAAGAGCAAACCGTTTGAATGGTCCCGCCCGTTGTGCCCCGTTATGATGTCATCACCTTCCCCTGTCAACCAGACTCAACAATCCAACAAAAACCCTTCCAACATGACAGCGTCAGACAATGATATCGTTGTCCCCCTCGTCATCATAGAAAGAGGACTATCTGCAAGGCACCCATTTGCCCTATGGCTTGACCCCGTCGTCATAATCCAGCATAAACAGGTTCACCGGAACAAAACAGCACTGATGAATCCATCCCTTGATCGTGTACACATGGTGGATGCATACTACTTGTATCTGTGGGTGGCCAGGGCCAGTGATTTCCAGCGGCAAAGGTGACAGCTCGCAAGCGACTCCACCTCAAACACGTGGATGAATCATGACGAGGTTTTGAGTCATCAAGAGCATAGGATTAAATAACCAATGGTATTTCTAAAGCAACAAAAAATAGAAAAGCGGTAGAGTGAGAGTCCTTGGCTCAATACTGAGTAGCACCGGTGCTAAGCCCAGAGCTCGATGGAACCTTAGTCTTATTTCAAATCAACTAAGTAGACCAGGCTCAGCAGAACAGTACGGTACATTACAGGCTACTTTGCATAAGACTATGTAATCAGCTACATGATGATCAGTGAGGGAGTCACGTGAGCTATTATGCCTTCGGTCGGCTTAATGATAAACTCGACATGTGTATGGCAGGCGCATTATAAAGTGAGCGCAAGTTTGCCAGGCAACATCTACCTATACAGCCACTCTCAGTTTTTGCCCTCCTCCCCCCCTCACCTCCCCGACAACAGTAGTACTGCAGACCGATACCATGCACCGGTGGCATAGAGTCGCAGAATACACATTGCGGAGCTATTTCACTCAATCGCATGATATCGGCGCTGTGGCTTTGTAGTAACAGAGGAAGTATGGCGCAGTCGATAACCACCCCCTCCGGGCTGGGGTGCCGTTGGATGGAGGCACAGAGCCGATGCTGTATGTATAGACCAAGATCCCCGATAGTCTTTACTTCAAGACCAAGTGAAGACGGTATATGGCTTTGAGAAGACCCTTACTTACAGGGAGCAACCCGCTAGTTGTGATAAGCGGTTATACTGGCTGGACAAACTCGGCTCTTGTCCGGGTTGTTGTTCCTTCGCAATCTTCTCAGGCCTCGCACAAATAAGTTCTGATATCAAAAAAATATTAATGTAGCTGTCCACACTATCGTGTGTGAGACTCCTTAAGCGTCAATAAGTCAATGCTCAGATGACTACAAGCTAAAAGCCTATTACTTTCTCGACTACTCAATCGCAAGATAAACACTGGTGACTAAAATATGCCACCTCTGTGCTTAGATGAGGATTCATCTACATGTGTTGTAACAAAACCAAGATCCTCCGTACCGCAGAACGATTATCTGAAGAGTTAGTTCCCAGCATGCGGTTCATACGCGTGGACCGGGAAGGGGCCTCGAGCAATGGATAACAAGGATGTCAATTCTTTGCTCCCAGATGGTGTCAATTGCGTGACAGCATCGAAAGCCAGGAAGACGGACGCTTTTGCCTTTGATCACCGCATCTCAGACACCGAAGATTATAACTGCTTACTCTGATATTAGCCTCTACAGCTTCGGCAATTGGGTCGAGCCAGACTTAGACTGGTCATGCAAGGAGGACTTAGAGCAAGCATACTTGCACTAGCAAGAGTAATTGAAGCACGTTATTCTGGAATCATTCGCATCAATATTGAAGATGGGCATTTGTTCATCAGCTCTGCGCACATGGTCTATGATCTGATGGGTTTATTGAAAAGGGTCAAGGAAGCGGTAGGAAAGTAGCACGACGCAGGGATCGACGAAAGAATTGAGGCCTGTCAGTTTTATGCCAGCTATAAAACTCACCTCAGAGCGAATATGATCGAACTAAAGGTTTTGGAATACCTTCATCCAATCGATAAAAACCAGACTTTAGCTGGCGATCGTTCTTCGCGACGCAGGGATCGGATGTATAGGTGTCTAAGACTATCAGCCAAGGTAGAAGCAGGAGTCAAAATCATGGACCAATGCAGTGAGTCACAGGGTTTTCACCCATCGTCTTACTTGGCTTTCCCCGTTCATCTTCAAGGCGGACAAAAAGGAGTCATTTAATAGCGCCATGCTAATATCATTCGCGAGGAAACTGGAAACCAAGCACCTTTATTGTAGCAAAACCTCTCCTCCTCGGGTGTTTCACCCTGAAGAGCGCGACGCTGCAGATGATAATCATCTCCCTCCCCGTTTCCGAGGTGCTGGCGCCACGGGGCTCGGCACGGACTCTACAAAGGACATTTGTCGCGCGAGATGACATTAATTCCGATCCATTCCCTTGGAGAGGAAACGGGTGATGTTGGGGTATCCTGAGAGCGGCCATGGTCACAGAAATGGACTGGGCGTGTGACTCTAACATCATTTGGTTGGTGCGACTCATTGCGTCCTTTTAGTCGAGGCTTCAATTGTTAATCGATAGCTGCCGTCAATGTATGAGTCAGAAGTAATATTATTTCAACTGAAGAGAATTTGGGGCGATATACTGGAGTTTAACGTTTTCACAATCGAGTCATGAAAGAGCCCATTGCCCAATGAGGTGATTAAATCGCCGTCTGAAGCTGGAGGTCGAGAGGCGCCTGCCGTCGGTCGATGACTATTCCACATTCCTCGGTGTATTGAAGCATGGTTTGCGACCAGCCTTAGGAGATCGGGCCGCGATCCGAATCAGATAGAATCAGCAACTGCTGGATTAATTGTGCGGTGGCGTATTGGAATGAGGGTGTAGGGTCGCCTTTGTCTCTGCGTGGCCGGGGCGCTTCGTCCGATGCTACGGATTCCATATTAGCTCCATTCGCGTGCAAAGCCCGGGAGCTAGACAGCCGCAAGCTGTCGGAGCCCTAACGGGCAGCACGGCTAAAGCGAAAAAGAAGACGTGAAGAAGGTGGCAACTCCCGCTTTCGAAGTCTGTCCTTCTTCACCCATCTCCTATTCTTTGTCATCTGTGCTGAAAGATCTGCCCCATTTCGGTGAAACGAGATATACTATAGGCGGGGCGCAGCGCGTAAGACTAGACACACTTGAAAGTTCACCCTGAACGAATTGTTGGGAGGCGATATATCAATGTCGGCATCGTCATTCAGCCATTTCTGAACCACTGGGACAGACTTATCAATGGCTATGTACCAAGATGTCCAAGACCCGCACGTCTGCCCTGCAGTGGTATGTTGTTCGAGTTACTCTCACTAGGGTCGTGGCCAGAGTGGATTAAGGATAGCCGGCCTACTAAGACATGTGCTTTTCGCTTGGAAGGTCCGATGCATCCTTTCCGAGCGACACAGCACGAAAGAATCCGGGTGGCTGTCTGATGACGACGAATCGGACTGAAGAGGGCGGTCGATGCTCGGTTAGGACACAAGGACTTGTTCCGGTTACGGTCACATTTGGAGGTACTAGGTATATCAGAGAAGCCACAATCTGAGAGCAAGTAGGAAGAGGTATAATTGAAAGGGTCTGGCGAGCGACAAGTGCATTGGATTTGATGGCAGATTGGACAAGTGAATACATGTTGGCGCCCAAGAGTGTCCGATACGTAGAGTCTCCCTTCCCCCGCGGCTTCTTTTTGGCCTGATTGGACAGCCAAGGTCAGACCCATCCGGAGTGGCGTCTAAAGATATATGGAGCAGCTGCTGGGATTGAAAAGAAATGCGTACAATTTAAAGAAATACCTGTCTCCCGTCACTCATTCAAAGCGATCTGAAATAGTGAATTGTAGCACTCAAGAATTCAGCAGCGAATAGGCGCATTAAGCAGGAGACAGTAGCACACTAGAGCACATCAAATTATTACCAGTCCGACCAGGACCTGGCTTAGAAACATTCCTACAATTCCTGCTGTTGCCCCTGAATACTCCATCCAGCGGTCAAAGTTCGTGCTTGGGCTAATTCTTCTTCCGTCGGCATATTGACGACCATCAAGTAAAGTACCTTCTATCCGGATTGTCAGTCATTCAGCAGGAAGAGAGATGGGTTGGATGGAACTCCCATACCGTTTGAAGTAGCTTTTTCAAACCGAGGCCTCCGTTTACACGTCCACCAGTCGTAGCGCGGGATGGTTGTTGTTGCTGGTACTCACCTCCATCAAAGTACCCGGAACTTGCCACCCCATACGGCGCTGGTGGATTTTCTCGGCTGGTGTCGTACTTTTGCTGATTACGATGGGCCGCCACCTGGGAAGCAGCTAGGTTGACCAGCCCGAGGAGACCACCACCGTCTTGTCTTCCTCCTAATCTGCGTCCGGTCTCGCCCCGGGCGCCCAAGCCACGATTTTGCTGTAAAGCCCCTCTCATCCCGCTCACAGACAAACTACTGTGCATGGGATGCGTGGGATCGGCGTACTTGGACGCAAATTCTGGTTTTCCAGCTTGAGTGAGATGGCTATTGGGGTTCTCGGCGAGCTGTAGCAAGTGTATATTGGTCAGTGAAGTGGTCACAAGCCAACTGTGAAAAGAAGTGGTCAACCGGTGATACTGACAAATTTGGCTTGTGCCCTGCGGTCGAGGTAATCATCTAGAAACTGCTTTCCGCGCTCCATCTTCTTCTTAAAGCCAGCTTGCTCATCCTTGGACGCCATAGCGAGGAAGTCCAGACCCGGGAAGATGAGCTCCGCCGTCTGGATTGACTCAATGCCGTTAGTGACACCGCTCGAAGACTGGAATCGATGCGACATCCGCCCTTGGCCATTCATCGTGTCTTGGATAGTGGTGTTAATATCCATGTTAGTGCGAGCGCCGGAGGCTGTAGCGTCCCATGTCATCACGAGACAATAGAGCCCACGCGGTCGGAAGAACTCTTGGTTCAGCTTGTCGAGGGCTTTGTTTTGTCTGATGATGTCATTGTCAGTAAAATAGTTTGTACAATAACATAAGACGTGGGAAGGGTGATTATTACCGATACCGACTCTGTGCCTCGATTGCAACATCTGTAGCAACCATGATCGCCACAGATATAGCTGTGGAGATTGCGAAGGGCAGAGGGGTTGCCGCTAACGATGCTAGGTTGATGGCGTTCATCCACGGATTGGCAAGGCTTGCTTCGTTCAGTGATTCAATCATGTCGAACCAGGTCTCCTGGTCAATGCCAACGGTTTCCAAATCAGGGGCATAGGCGCGGATGAATCCGCGCTTCTTGTCCTTAGGACGGCGCTGAGGAACTGCAACCGGGTATAGAAGCTTGGTATCGGGATTTAGCAAAGCAGCAGGAGGAGGAGGACGCCGAAGGAGAAAAGCGGCAATCACTTTGTCTGGGTTGGCAGTTCCCTGTTTGCTCTTCCTGGGCGCGTACTCGGGGCTCTTCAAGACCTGCTCCTGCGCTTCATCGAGCTCCCACGAGTACTCGAGATCATTCCGGGCAGTAGGTGAGTCGACTAGGGCTGGACTTGCGGCATCCGGAACTTCCTGGTTCTCGCTAAAAGGTGTTGTTGTATATGGCGGAGGCAAAGAAGAGGCAGAATGTGATACATCTTCTTGTTTGTGTTGTTCTAGGGTTCGATCTTGTTCTTCTGATGGTGCTTGCACTTGCTGTCCTTGATCTTGTTTTTCTTTGGCAGCTTTCCTTGCCTTCTTGTATTTGTGAACTTCCGTTGCAAAACCGATGCCCGAAGTGATTCCATGGACCAGGGTGCCAATGGGACCCCCGTGTTCTGAGCGTGACAGGGACATTATCGAGTCCTGTGGTGCGGTGTGGTGGAACGGTTGTCAACAATAATGTCTAAGATCTCTCTTAACAAAGCAGCAGGGAGTAGTCTCAAAATTTTCTGGGAGAAGTGCCGATTGAAGTCTCTTCTTATAAGACAGTTGAGAATTAGGCGGACAAAGAGATGATCATTGCAAGCACAGCCCCGCGGGCGGGGCGTAAGCGGGTTGCCGGATAAGGCTTGGAGTGCGAGAAGTTACTAGTCTTTTTCGGGCAACCAACTCGGTCACCCACCTTGCCAAAAAAGCTTAAAGTTAGTTGTACTGTATGTACGCAGGGTATGCGACTCCGCCACAGGGGCTGATGGATACGACGAAGAGCGCGACATATTATATCAGGCACAAAGAAAGCGTCTTACCGACATTAAGGCCTTCTGACATGGACAACCACAGAATAGAGGATATACTTGATAATTAAGCCTTGTTTCCACTTGTCGCAGATGATGGGTGACTACACTATCTAAGGTAGAGTGGATTAACCTGACCGTTATACCTTAATCTTAACCTGGCCATAATCTGGCGGTTAGATTAAAATACAAAAAAATTTTAACTGTATAGTTACAGTTAGATTAAAATATAATTATTATTTTAACTATCTATATCTACCGGTCAGAAAGATTAGATATAATAAATAAATTAATAACTATAAATTAATTAGTAATATATATATTCTTTTTATATAAATAATATATAAAATATAATATATTTTTAATTATAGTATAATAATATTATCTAGATTTAGCTTAGAGTGGCTAACAGCCAGGTCAGATTAGGTTAATTAGAATTTTTATACCTGACCGCTAGATTATAGCCAGATTAAGAAAATTTTTATATCTGATTACAGTATAGCTAAAAAACAGACAGTTAACTATCTTAACTATTTTTAATATTAAGATTCTTCTGCTATATCTGTTTAGATTCTAGTATAATTAAAATATATTTAGATTAAGCAGTTATTAATCTAACTATTTTAACTATTATCTAAAAGTATACAGAAACAAGCTTTTTAAATTAAAAAATAATAACTAAAAGAAATATTAATATTTTTTTTATCTCTATCTAAAAGAATTAATTAGAAAATCCTAATAATATTAATAAAATTCAGTTTTTTATAAAACTATTGCTTTTATAGTAAGAAATATATATAAATATATATAATTATAGCTTAGTTTGGACTGTATACTTTAGTTATATTATATAATAATCGAAAAACTATATATTTATTATTAGTTAGATTATTAAAAATAAATATACTACTTCTGTTTTATTATTCTTTTTTTTATTTTAATTTAGATAGTTTATTATATTCTTATTTTTTATCTAAAAAAGCTGAATTATCTGTATTATAAATTAAACTTAAAAAAAAACCTACTATTAAGTTACAGGCTAGCAGATATAAATAACAATAAATAAAATAATAAAATAAATAATAAATTAATAATATTTTAATAATTTATTTTTTTATTCTTAACTAGCTATTTAATTAGACTATTTTTAGATTTATAAATAAGATATAGCTCGAAAAACTATAAAAAGATTTAAAAATAAAAAGATTTTTAAGCAGGTTTAAAATCATATAATAAATAGTTAAAAACAGTAGATTTAACAAATTAAATAGATTAAATAAATTAAATAAATAAAGTAGATTAAACAGATTAAGCAGATTAAGCAGATTAAATAAATTAAATAGATTAAACAGATTAAGTAGATTAAGTAAATTAAATAAATTAAATAAATTAAATAAATTAAGCAGATAAGTTAAAAAAATTAAAACTATATTATAATATTTATATAATATTATTTATATAATCTTTCTCGGCAACTGTACTTTCTAATAACTATTTAATTAAATATTAGGTATTATATTTCTTAAAAGATTTTATAAAAGTTTTTTTTAGATTTTTTATATTAATATAAAAATAATCTAACTAATCTAATTAATCTAATTTTTATAATTCTAGATTTAAGATATAATTTTCTGCTTACTAAATTTTTTAAAATAAATAAAATACAACAAATGCTTTAGCTGTATTTAAAATATAATAAATTATATTTATATAAAAGTATATTTTAAAATAAAACAAACTATTTTTATAGAATTTTTTATTTTTATCTTTTTATATTTATTATTTATAGAGTAATTTAAGAATTATAAGTTAATTATAATTATTTAGCTTATTTTTAAAGAATACTATTAAGTTTTTTTTTTTATTTTTTAGATTTTTATAAACTATAATAATACTCTAACTAAGATAAGCTTTTTAAGCTAGATTTTTTTTTTTTTTTAAATCTCTAGATTACGCACGTCGCAAAAAATTGAAAGATTATTTTATATTTAACTTATAAAAAAAAACTCTCTATTTTTTAGAATTAATAATAGAAGATAATTTTTTTTAAAACCTGTATATAAGCTTAAAAACTGCTATTTTATTTTAGTTAAAAAAAGATATTAATAATATAAAATAATTTTTAAAAAAATATATTATTTTTTAATAAAATCTTTTATATCTACTGTACTGTATATCTTTATATCTTATAATATTTAGAAATTAAAAACTTAGAAACTAGTTCTATAAGCTATTATTTTTATAAGAATTATAAAAAAAAAATATTATTAATAATATTTAAGCAAATAATCAGCCAGATACTAAATAAAAAATTATTATAAATATTTATTTATTTATTAAAAATAAATCTTTTTTAATTATTATTTTTTCTAGGCCTTTATAGTCTATAATAAACAAAACTTTTAAAATTAAGTTTTATATTTTATAATTATCTATTATCTATTATTCCGAACTATTAAGTATATTTAATTTAAATAAATAATAAATTTTATAATTTTATTTTTTTATTAAAAATTAAGTTCTTCTAATCGAGTACAGATTAAAAAATATTTTTTAAAATTATTAAAAAATATATATATACAGCTGTTATTAAAGTTTTTAGATATTAGATAAATATTAGTTATAGTAGATTGTTCGACTAGTTTTAATTAGAAAATATTTTTTATTTTAACTAGATATTTTTTAATAAAAAATATAAATTATTATAAAGTTCTACTAGACTTCCGACCGGTATTTAGATTTTATACTAATAAAAATCTAGTTATAATTATTTTATTAATTTTATATAAATATAATCTATTCTATTAGTTATTAAATATAACAATTAATAATACTAATAATAATAGTTTAATATTTAATATAATCTTATTTAAACTTCGGACTTAGCTTAGCTAGAGTATTTAGTTTTATAATATTTTATTTTATTCTAATCTTATAATAATTATTTAAAATTAGTATTATATATTCTGTTTTATTTATATAATTCAGTTTGTAGTTAATACTTTTTTATAAAAACTTTAGATCAAAGCTTTAAACAATACTGTTAAATATATATAAAAGATTTATAATAAAAATCTTAAAGCCTCTTCTAATATTTTAAAAACTCTTAAAAAAATATATTCTAAAAGCTATTTATAAAAAACTAATATAAAAAACTTTTATTATTTATAATAAAAATTATTTAGATTAATTTTTTACAAACAGGTTTAGAGTGGATTAACCTGACCGTTATATCTTAACCTTAACCTGACTATAACCTAGCAGTCAGATTAAGATATAAAAAAATTTTAACCGTACGGTTATAATTAGATTAAGATATAATTATTATTTTAACTGTTTATATCTACCGGTTAGAAAGATTAGATATAGCAGATAGGTTAATAACCGCAGGTTACATTATTAGGGTTTTAGGGTTTAGGGTTTTTTTTTATTATTATTAGGGTTTACATTAGGGTTTACATTAGGGTTTACATTAGGGTTTACATTAGGGTTTACATTAGGGTTTACATTAGGGTTTACATTAGGGTTTA